CGCCAATGATCACGTCCACCGGGTCATTCGGGAACGCGGCGGCAATCTTAGCGAACCCGGAGCGGCGATCCACAGTAGATCCAGAGCCGCCTGGTATTGAGGCTGAGTGCACCAGAACGGCGAGGTTTCGACAGAGCACTCACCAGCTATGCGAACGGGCGGCCTCGTCATCGTGGAAAATGAAGAGGTGCGAGTCTGTACACTCCACTACTTATGACCCGGACGCTGAAATCTCCGCATTTCACCCGCGGACCGCGGAACCGCTCAAAGAGCGGTTTTCACGTGTGACGCATCTCATTTCTGGAACGTCGGCCGCCCATAGCCTGCCATAAGCGTGGCATACGCACCAGAGCGATGACGTACTGTCGAGCCTTGTATACAAAATCAGTGATGACATCTGCGGCTGTGTTATCATACGGGCCGCCACTGTCCGCCTTGTAGATCCGACTCTGAGGCGCATCTCACTTCTTCATTTCTCCTTTCCATGGACTCCATTTTTTGCTCCGGTATGTCAGGCATAATTGAGAAAATGTACCCATCTCCTCCAGGGGGTCTTGGGGTGCATTTCCAGCACGTTGGGAAACTTACGAATTTCCTTTTACTGACGTGTTCTTCAGTCTTCTTGATCTCTAACGTGCCAAAACAATTATTCCGTGTCCTGATTCTACTGGGTCGCGAATTGAGCTGCACTTGTGCAAGAGCCGAACCCAGACCGGGACAATCGGGGGAGGATGTCCCAGGGACAATTCAATTATTGACATTGACCACGATCACTTCTGTGTTGAAGGTCATTGCATCAAGTTCATCAATTAATACATCATTCTAAATACAATCTTCCTCGTCGACTCAAATCATGTAGACGTATTCGGGTGACCGATCTCCCAGCTCCCGCATCTGCTGTTTCGTGTAGCTCGGCCCGGTGGGCGACTCGAGGCCGTTTTCCGTCAGGACGTAAGCCATTGCCGCGCGTTTCTTGTTGATGCGGCGGTATGTGACGACGATGATCGGTGCGCAAATCAAGCCGATGCCGACGAAAATCATCTCGAGGCCATCTGGACATCATATCAGTATTGGCCGAAGGTTTGAACAAAAAAGAAAGGAGCTCACGGCCGAGTCGGAAATGAGGGCGGTCCTGGGTGCGGTAGATGTTGCTCGCAATCGCACCGCTAAATAAAAACTATGAGCGCCAGCTGCCGCGAGCGGCTGTATAACACACCCAAAGTTCCCGATCCCAATCTGCAACGCCAGCCCGACTCCGCGCTTGTACTGCCCGCTCAAATTGCTGCCGAGCCAGGCGACAGCACCCGGGAAGCCAGCGTAGCTGCCGCCAACGATCAGGAAAGTTCCAAAGTATTTCACACCAGGAGGCGCCTCGGAAATGTTGATGACGAATCCAATCAGACACATCAACAGAGAGATGTAGATGAACGGAGACCGCATCTTCAGCTTGTCTGACCAGAACGCAAACACGAACAAAAGCATGGCTGGTGTACATCCTCAGCACGGGAGTCGCGGAGACATTCGTTTGAAGACTCACTAGCGAAGAGCTGCAGAGAGATGCATCAGAAGCATGATCGTTCATACGTTTTCTTTGACTCACATAGGCCGGAACTGTAAGCAATTGAGAGATAGCAGTCGAATGTCCGAACCTGGAGAAGGTGAGACAGACTCAAAGTACGTACTCAGTGTTGCTCACGTGCTGATAATCGTCCTGCGAGTTGATTCAGTCGACACATCCGGAGCGAGAATGTGCAAATCACTTACGGGAGGAAGAGGGTAATTCCGTAAACTACAAGGAGGATTCAGAAAGTGCGTGTGGGTACTGCATGCACGACTTACGAGGCGTGACAAGGGAGACGTAAACCAGCGTGTGCATCCAGACCTTCAACAGGTCAGCTAAAAGCATGCCTCCGATGAAATTTGACACACCTGCCAATCAGTGAAGGCCTGGAACAAGTGCCGGAACTCGAACTGCTCCTCCTCCCCGACAGACGAGTTGTCGAATTCTAGACACCAGATGAGCGACGAGCCGACACGAATATCCTGGAAATGTGCCCACTCTTTCTCCAGATCACGAAGTCGCGCTCAGCCGGCTCGAGGAACTTGGCCGTAGCTGGGAAGTCCACGATCACGAAGAACGCCAGAACACCGGCGAGGACGGTGGCGATTCCCTCCTGCGATCCTCATCAACGACAGATACATCGGCACTTGATTGATCTGGCACGGACCAGAATGAAGATCCACGACCAGCCCCGCAGGCCAGAAATGCCATTCATGAAGTTGATTCCGTAGGCGAGCAGACCACTGAACGCTCCCGCAAGCGAGGCCGCACCGAAGAACAAACCAATCCGCCACTGCAGCATCGCCCGTGGGTACCATAGGGACAGACTGATTACGGTGAGTGTCAAGAAAGCTCGCAAAGTGCTGTCATGTTACTCACTAGTAGACGACACCGGGGAACAGCCCGGCTTCGGCGACCCCGAGGCAGACACGAACGCCGACGAGCTGCGGATATCTGATATGGATTCATAAGCAGATCAACATCCATCTGCACGAGTGTCTCACGTCTTGACAAGGCCCATTAGTGTCCTGTATCGGTTGGGATCATTTTGATAGCCGCCGGACTTGAGACAACTCACATGACAGTTCCCCAGAGCACCTGACCCCGATCGTTAGCCTGGGACCCATACTTCTCTATTGGAGGGGCTCACCGTAATCCCTGGGAGCCATCTGTGAATGACGTGAGTAAGCTGCCCTGAACACAAGCTAGACTGGGAATAATCCTCACAAGGATGGGCGAAACTTCTTCAACGCCAAACTATAATAATGATGCCCGTCAGACACCGGATAGATACCAGCCCGGCAGGAACAACATACTTCGCCGGACACTCGAAGATGCAATACGGCTTGATAGAGTCGTTCGGCATGTCTTCTCGATCGCTCTGAGGGAAGAACACTCACGATAAAGTACATGGTCTGGGAAAAGATAAGCGCCACATCGTGAACCGAATACCGGAAGCATACCAAGGCGATATTGTATTTGTTCCCTGTCAGGTTCAACTGTTCTTGCAGGCCGTCAAGTTTGGCGTTTCCTCAAGCAGAAGTCAGCAGACCGCTCAGGTGACGACTGGGGATGACATACCGATGTTTCCTGGAGACACGTTTTAAACATCTTCTCAAGTGTGATGAAGCGGCTCACGCACCTCGGTCCATAAAAGACAGCAGGTACAATAGACCCAGGATAGGCAGGAGACGAGCGTCGACCTATCGGCGACGGGCGGCGATTCAAGGTCAAGGATCGAAGATTGAGACGGGCACTCACCTTGCGCCAAAGCTTGCGCTCCTCCTGCTCCGTGAGCTCGAGGGGGCAAGCGTCTCTTGCGAGCCCGAAGCCCTCCTTCACAGGCGAAGACTCGACGATGGCCCCCTTCTCGAGAGACGAGGTGGAGGGAGTTCTAGAGGACATGCCGAGCAGAGAGAGCACGGGTGGACGATGGAGGACGCAGTGGGAACTCCAAAGTTAGCCGGCCACCTCCTGACCCGTATTTATACTTGGTAGTGAATGCCAGCTCCATGGCATTCGATTGGATAAGACCAAGTTGGATTAGTGTCAGCTGATGAGGAGCGTCGGCAAGGCGTGTACAAATCGCGAACTTGACCCTCCCAAGGGTGGTTATAGACAAGAGCGCGATTAGATCGTTGTGAGACCTGTTGATTACCAATCCAAACACGTGTAAGTATAGATGCAGTACCACGTTACCGCGTATGATCCGGCGTGAGACCGGGATCCCTTATCCATATTCGCGCGACTTCAGCATCAAAGAGAAGACGACGCAAACACCTTCTTCTTGCACTCACTCCAAAGGCATTCTGATTCATCCCCCAGAATCGCAAACGCTAAACGAGTCAAGCCTTCAAAATCGTTGTCATATTAGTACCCAAACAGCTGCTCCGCACTGAGATCTCCCCACTGTCAAGGTCTTTACCTCGGAAAAGCGCAAAGCATCGCGGTTTTGCATTTGAATCTTCGATGCGATGTTACGGGCATTCGAATTTCTTCGTTCCTGACCGTCGCCCGCCACTTGAAGCTAAGCAGGGGGTCACGCCGAGAATCGAGTGCAAAATCGAATGCAAAACTGAGGTCGGTGTCATGGCTTGGCAAAAACCTCATTCTTGGGTAGCAGTTCTGGAGAATAGTTCCACATCATCATCCTTGTCCGCGACCCGAAACCATTATTAGAAATGCCTCCTGCCGACGCCATCGCTGTGGCTACGTGCTCTCGTACAAACGCTTCAGTCATTCACAGCTCATGTTCGAATCCTCGCTGACACGCATTGACCTTGATTGTGCCACTGCTGACATTGCTTCTACGGAATCGATGTCGAATAGCCTTGTCCTCCAGATTTCCCAGGCACCGGTCCGAATCTTGACCAAGAACTTGAGCCCGGCGTACCTGAGGCCCGAGTCTGGAACTCTTGATGCTTACCTAGATTCTTGCAAGATTTTTGTAAGAGAGCCGACATGCTAATTCCCATCACGATGCGTCACAAGTGCTGCCTAGATCCATAATCTCATCGGCCAAGATGACCATGATCCATGGAATTCATCTGGATCAACGATGGCCAGCGCTCTGCGCTGAACGACGCGCTTGTGTTGAAACTCATTTCTACAGTACCCTGTCATCACCTGACCGTGATTTTGATCTGACCGTGAATTGTCGATAGCCTCATTGCGATTTCCCTTGGACCCTGCCAACGCCCCGACTCTTTCAACATTCAATTGCTCCAGAACTGCGCGTGCATCCACGAAGCACGAGGACTTGTCTCTAGACTGTTGATCGGATGTGTCTTTAGTGCCCTCCCGTCAGGACGGGAAACCTGGGGATCTGGGCTGCCGGACTATCGCGCTAGACTGAATCGCGCTTGAGTTGGTATTTTCAAATACAGGATACAAGTATGACGAGTTAAATAAATGGAAGACAGCCCCTCTGCGGGTCACTTTACTCCTCGTCGGTAATGTCGGACCATTCACTGTGCACACTGCCTTCTGGATCCGAATCTACCACCTCAGTAACGAGTGAGACAAAGGCCGCAAAAATGCGCTCGGGACGATGGAGCCGCTTCTGCATCCTTCCGCGGATCCATTCAGCCTTTTTCCGATGCGTTTCTTGCTCATAGTCCGTCTGCACGTCAAACACCGCCGTGTCCAATACCTGCAAGGCATCCAGATCGTCGATGAACCCGATGTGCTCATGGATGGCCCAGGAAAGCATCCCATTGAGCACCGCGCAATCCGCAAGAGTATCCCTCGGATACTTGCGAAGAAATCCGGAGACGGCGTCCGCAAATCGACGTTGCATTTTGGCCGGGAGCACCGAATAAATGCCGTCGACTGTCTGAACTGATTCGAGCGTCTCGAAGTCAAGCTCGCGCTGTGTTTGATCTGGATTCCGGGCGCACTGCTCGAAGAAGGTGGTCACGACACCCACACGCGCACAGTGGAGAATCGAGTCACGAGTTCCCTCAGTCGATACCCGCTCCATCCGCGTCTCGTTGTCGAGGCAGATCACTGCGCGAAACCAGTCCTCGTCCTCGAAGATACTGAGCAATCTCGCCGACTCCGACAAATCCCCCGATTGTGACCAATCCAAACGGAAACGTTTGAGCACGACGCCCTGGACGATGACAGCCAAACGGTGCGGGTGTATGTCTGCTGCTTGAGCGCCAGCACTGTGCAGAGTGCGGAGGACCAAAAGATGGGTATCGAGGTCTCCCGGGTATCTTGTGAGTTCGGCGACGTCGAGAGAGTGACGGTAAATCAGCTGGAGGAAGTCAAAAGATTCCTCGAGATGGGATCGCAGCGTAAAATTGAAGCATAGGCAGTGGCATAGGAATCGGGTGTAAGTATACTTTGGACCGGGCTGTGAGATGGCGTCCGGGTCTGAAGGGGCAGCGAGGGAGGGATGTCGGACAAGGAACGGCGCAAGACCAGAGATCCAAACCACCCCTTGATCCGTCGATGCCCCAGCAATTGCGGTGATCATCTGGCGAGCGGAAAAGACGAGGTTGTCCGCTGTTTCATCCGACCCAGATTGGATCAGCTCTTCGAGAGCGGCGTGAAGAGCGATGTAGCCGTCCGGTCCCGTGAAGAGGATTTGTGACCGGTGAAAGAGCGAGTTGGTTACATCCCGTTCGAAGCTGGTAGGGCTTTTGGAAAGTGCCACCAGATACTGCACATACGTCCATTTCTTCTCCGCTTGCCGTTGCTCCCCTGCTTTGGTCCGGTCGTAGTTGCTCGTCTGCGTGAGAGGGTACTCGGGCGCTCGTTGCCGGCTCTCAGACTCGATGATATTCAGACGAACCAGAGCCAACACGGCGAGGACCATGCTCTGCACTTCGTCAGAATCAAGGAATCTCGAGCCGAGCAGCACTTTGTCAGGATCGGTGTCTCCAATCGGGTACTCCAAAGGCGACTCGGTGTGTACAGAGAACGCGCAGATGGCCCAGATGGCCCGGAGCACGGAGAGCTGTCGGCGGACCCGGACCGAGTGCTCGAGCAGATTGCTGTTGGAGCCAGCCATGAAATCCGCAAGACGCTGGCAGAGATGGACGTGCGGATCCTGCAACAAACTCTTGAACTGTTCCAGATACACGCTGCGAGGCTTGCCTCTGTCGAAATCCCAGACCGTCTGGGGGAGGCCCTCAACAAGTGAATCAAGCGAGTCGTTATCAGAGAGAGTGCGGATAGCCCAAGCAACAGCTCGGGTCTCTGTCTCGACAGTGGGATGCAGTGCTGCTGATTTCAGGGCGTCCACCATGCTCTGGGACTGCGGACGAGTGTCTGCAGGTGCAGGAGGTCTGGAAGGGGCCTCGGGGTCCGTCACAGCGACTCTCATTCGAACACAAGCCTTGAGAACATAAGCCCTCAGCACGCGTCCCAAGCTTTGATTTAGCGACCATAGGATTCGCGACAGTGGCGTCTGGAATGGACTGTCGAAGAAGAACAGCGGGAGTAAGGTGAACGTTCCATAGACCGAGACGAAGACGAGCAGCAAAGCGGAGGAGATTCCCATGATGATGTTGTTGACAAGCACAAGAAAGGCCGCCAGACCTGCGAAGAACAGGGCCAAGGCCCCATGAAGGAGGAGCGGGGGAGCACCGACGACGGTATGCATATTGAAGCGTCGCAGACCATAGTAGAGATACATGTAGACACGCGACCGGACAGAGGGGGAGGAGAACATGGATGTGCGGTGCTGGTACTCCTGCGCCCACTGCTTGACCAGTGTCGCGACGAGTGCGCACGACAAACTGAGCGCGAGGCTCGTGAACCAAAGTGCGTTGCAGACAAGGGAGGAGGGAGGGGGCACGAAGGTAGCGGAGGGAGGGGGTGCGTCTGCGACCGCTGTGCCGTTGTTCAGGTTCGCGAGCTGGTGAGAGATCTGGCTGAGCAGCGCGACGGTCTGGCTGAGCAACACGACGGTCTGGATTCCCGGGTCGGGATTCAGCGTCTTGTAGCTTTCGATGACGAATGTTGCAACGACGCCGGAGAAGAGACCGGCCTGATGGGTCAGGTTCAGCGAGGGAATGAGATTGAAAAACGGACGGGGATGCACGAAGATCAGGAGACCATCCATCTCACTGCGCCAACCATCAATGAGACCGCGATCATAGCTTTGTGCCTCCGAGACGTAGACGCTCCAGAATTTGTTCCCGCTGGCCCTCTCGCGTTCGATACTTGCTTCGTCTGCCTGTCGTTCCTCAAGTTGTGGCATGGTCAACGGCGGGAGATAAACTGTTATGCCTTGTGTCTGAGCAGCGTTTCTCCATACACACTGCCCTACTAGAGAAAGGCCACGATTCACAGCAATCGAGTGCCCAATGCCTGATTGACGGAACTAGACACGGCTACTCAAGCCAGTGCAAGCTCGGGCGGCACAAAGATTGGCCGGTAGCGCTTGTTGGGGCACGCGAGTCAGCTCCCAGGAGATTGGCAAATCGCATCGAGCACTCGCAAAACAGCATCATTTCCCGGAGGCGCGCATGTGACCATTATTCGCCGAAGAACCACAGTGAGCAAATAGGAAGTCGTGAAAATCAAGCCAGACGCATAATCTCGCAAGTGAGAGAGAAGAGTCGGATACAGTTGGTCGCATGCGATGTCACGCAATCGTCTCTTCTCTCGCAGCTCTTCTCGAAGTCGCACTGCCAAGGTCAATCCGATGCATAGTCATGTGGTGAACGGCTCCCCCGTGGAACACCGGCCGAGGCGTCTCTCCCCGTGGAACACCGTGCTCGCGCGCTCTGCAACGATATCAAATGGACGTTGAGCCTCGCCGTGGATGCGGTGCACACCAATTCGCAGGTATGTGCGGTTCCCATCGTCCCCCAGAATGATTGCTCACAGATGCCGCTCGTCCAGACTCGAGGCTCGGAGTACTATTATGCGTCAGTGGATTGCATCCGTTTCCTTTCCCGACTTGCCTAATCCGATCTTCCTCTCCCAGACCATGAATGTGCTGGGTGGGGTTTGAAAGCACCCGAGGTCTAGAAACAGCGTGCTGTCGTCTATGAGCTGTTGATCACAGATGGCTGACAGGTGTGTCGGCTTCCTTGGTTGGCTCTGTTTTTGCGTTCATTATGGCTCTCGCGTTCTGGCGACGGGCCGGCTGACGATACTCTCGCTGCATTTCGTGGACTGCGAGCCATCGCAGGACGTTGAGCCGACCCTGACCGATGAAGATGCTCTCGATCTTGATGCACCCCATTCACGATAGAATCCCCCTATGGGCATTCATGAGTCACTAGATGCCGACAATGTATCTACAAGGCCTGAGGCAACATGCGCGTCCATCAAATCAACACATCCAGCGCTACTCTACGTTGACCAATGCTTCTTTGGCATGCCATCTCCAACCACCCGAACAATCCGACCAAGAGCCCTCATCCCCGTCGTTCCTGGCCGGCTAACAGAGTGCATGGAGACTCCATTCTGCTCTGGGAAAGCGGCTCTAGGTGTATCCGTCTGAGATTGTTCGCTTCTGGGTGCTTTGGATCCATGCTTTCTCTACGTCGGTGAGTGGTCCTCCGCGAGTGTTTATCTGCCTCTTTATCTCGAACGCCCATAGATCATGTTCTTTTCCGTTATCACTCATGCGCCGCAATCCAAAGTGGCGCAGGCCATTCTGATTGAGCTGCAGAAGGCATACGAGCAGCTCGATCCAGGTGCCAAGATTTACCCAAGCTCCAGAGCACGCAAGTGCTTGCCGATCATCCAGCGGCTGGTTGAACGGGCATTGCATCTATTTGAAGAATCGCGCAACGGCGTTGTAGCGATGTTACATCTGGAAACCTTCCCGGGCCGAGAAGGACGAGCTGTCAATCCTTCAGCGGGAATACGCATCCTCTGACAAAAAGAGCTTAGCCGGCCGAAGATCCACTTTGTGGGTGCTTATTATCGCATTCGCCCAAGCAGCCGTTTGCGGACAACTCGTCGTTTGCGAGTGTGCATCCGAGTCTGATCAGCGAGCTGAACAGATTCCATGTCACGCTGAATGCCCAGATCCAAGGAGGGTGTCACACATTGGCTGACCCGCGCAGTATCAGCACCCAGCAACAAGAGGAAGGGCAGCTCGAGGAACAGCTTCGGTCGTGGCGTGTGTGGAGAGATGCGGCAGAAAGACCCCGAATGCAGCAGCGACAGCGACGGCCGGCCACACGTCTTCGTCCCGTATCGTCTGGTAGCTGAGCGTGCCAGCCAAAGGCATCCGCACTCGCCCCTAACCGGTGTCCGGACCACAGAGCCATGTAAAGGGACACATCACTCTGCACATGCTATCAATAGCGGTCCTGGCAGCCGCAGCGGCAGTGACTATACCCGTGGTGCGGCTGCCAATACGAGCACTAGCTGGCGGCGCAGCGTTTCGACTCGCATTTCACCCTGGACGGCGCAGTGTGTGGGCTGCCTGCGGAATATAAGAGACCGCGAGAGTATTGGCAGCAGATGTATCTGTCAAAGGTCGGGTCTCAGTCAGGTGCGAAATGTGAGAGGCAAACCGCCTGGTTATGATATTGAAGACTTCAAGCAGATGACTCAGCTTCTCTGGCTCAGTTGGTTAGAGCGCCAGTCTCATAAATTCATATGAGTGATGTTGCATCATTAATCTGGAGGTCAACAGTTCGACCCTGTTGAGGAGCAATGATAGTTTTGCTGCTTTCTGCTCTTGTCTTCCTTGTGTTCCCGCGGACATTCTGCCAATCGCCTTCGTATTCGTTCGCCAAATACTCCAGACCTGTCCATACTAGAGCGAAGTTATCGATGTTTTCGGATATATTCAACGGCAACGAAGCCAAGGCACTCATGCTCATACATGGCAAGCCAGGCCTGGGCTTTCTAAAATTTACAAGCTATTTGGGTACAAGCTTACATTTGGGCGAACCCACGGGCAAAACAAGACAGAACAAATATCAGAGAGATCGCAGGTCGTCCAAGCGGTCCAAGAGCAGGGAGGATAAGCCTGATGGCAGTGGCAATCAAACGTGCAGTCAGGTGTAATATGACAAGGATAGAGAGAGTCACGCACCGGGATGTGGATTGTCCCACTCGAATGGCGAGGGCCCCAAACTCTTCCCGAACCAGACGAGGCAATAGAATGACGCGAGAGAGAGCACAACTAGAACGACGAATAGGATTGACGCCCCGACGTATTCACCCCAGGTGCGCTCGCGCGGCTCGGGGGGCGCTCCTGATTGGTCGTGAGAGTCGTCATCGTGAGAAGGGGTACGAGTGTGAGTCTGAGTGTTAGTGTGAGTGTGGGTGTGGGTGTAAGCGTGAGTATGAGCATGAGTTTCATGGTCATGGTCGTGGTCGTGGTCTGGGTCTGGGTCGCGATCGTGCTTTAGGTCGCGTTCGTGGTCATGGTCGTGGTTGTTTTTGTGGTCATGGTCGTCAGCCAAGCGATCCGGGAGGGTGTCATCCGGTTTATGACCAATCGGCGGCGAGGTCGGCTCGCCTTGCGTTTTCTTGTTCTTGCCCTTGTTTCTCTTCTTACTGCTCTTCTGCTTCTTCGCCACGCCTGCGTCGTGACTAGGTCCCCCACCCCCGTGGAACGCACTTTCGGTATCCTCGATGATCGCCTCCAGTTGCTCGGCGCGCTCCCTCCACTCTCTGCCGATGTCCTCATCCGGGTGGTCTGACAGCAGGTGCATCAGATCGACCAATTCGTACGCGAAATCCAGGCGCTGCGACGGAGTAGAGGCGGATAGAAATTGCGACTCCATAGCATTGTACGAGGGGAGGTGGATCTCAGTGTAAATTTTGAGCCGCTTGGCATCTTGGTAGGTCTGTGAGGAGGGCGGATCGTCGCGCAGGATGTGTTCATAGGATCGTGTGCCACCGCTGTGGCGACGATGCTTGATACGAGCCATGTAAGACACGTCGTTAATGGAATCTATGTCCAAGAAGCAAGCTGTGAAACGGGCTGTTCGGAGGAAAGACCCCGGAAATTTGCGAGGTGCAAGAGGCGGATGCAGCCGAAATCTGTGACGGCTCACAAGCTCCGGCAAGCTGCTTGCATAGAGCACTACATACATATATACTTCCACAGTCTGATTTTCTGCTGATATCCTCGCACCTCGTCCCGGGTCTTCCGAATCAGACCCCTCAAGGGTCTATGTGCTCCTTCCGGCATCCGTTGAGATACAGCTAGCATGCACGATGTCTATTTGGAGCGCTGTCTCCCTATGAAATGACGTCAAAGGACCCTTTCCTCCCGCTGTCCCGATGTCCGCTATCCTCTCGCCCTCGAAACACCACCAAAACACCTCCGGCCCCTTTGAGAACCCATGGCCACCTGTTCTGACGATGTTCGCCAGCGCAATATCACTTCTGCGGTTTCCATTCGAACGAGCTACGCCGCTCGAGCATGACTTGCATGGCGTCGCTACTATCGAATCGCGGAAACCCGACTGGTCTATCTTAGACCAGGCAGAGGACAGAGTGGGTGCTTGTTGGCTAGGGCATGCAGTGCGTGCTGTAGTGAGAAAAGTAACTTCCCAGAATGATTCTCGCTTCGTTCCAGGGTTTTCTCGTTCAGCTACCGACGGGATCACGGCTCAGACCCATACGCATCGTGTTCGACCCTATATTCTCTGAAAGAGCCTATCCCTCTGCGTGGGTTGGCCCAATTCGGCGACTGCCTGCTCCATGTCAGGTGGAAGATCTTCCCGAGGTGGACTTCGTCGCCGTCAGCCACAATCAGTGCGTAGCATATGATCGCCATATCCTCGGGAGCTGGAAACTGACTTCGGAGCTAGTTACGACCACTGCGACCTCGAAGCTCTCAAAGCGATTCATAATCGCTTCCCCGCTGTTGCGTTCCTCGTACCGCTAGGAGTTAAGACAACATTAGTGTCCGAAGGCGGCATCGCAGATTCGCAGGTGCACGAGCTCGACTGGTGGGATGAGCTCGTGTTTTCGGATATCGCTGTCCGCTTCCATTGCACACCTGCCCAGCATAACAGTGGTGGGTGTCTGGATCTATCCAGTTGCTTCTGTCTCAGCTTCACTACAGGCAGGGGCGTACGCGATCGCAACTACAGCTTGTGGTGCGGCTGGGCTGTGAGCACATTGTCGGAGGGTGCTCCCTCTGTCTACTTTGCAGGGTGAGAGAAACACTCGCGTTCTTGAAGCCTCGACTCGAGCTTTCGCAGCGATACTGGTTATCAGACGGCAGATGGTCCTTGTCCTGTTTTCAGAGGTCGATTCGTCTCTATCATGCAAGTCAGCACATGTGCTCACTTTCAATCCAGAGATTGGGGAACGATTAGGTCCTTTCGAGCTGGCCATGGTCCCCATCTGGTCTGGGGCAACCCTTACTTTCCTCGGAAAGCTGGGATACCGCGTTTGTTCCTTCCGTCCTCGATATCCACTTGAACTGAAGCTCCAGATAGCTCTCAGACGACGCACACATCGCGACTATGCACGCGACCCCAGAAGATGCTGTACACCTCGCTCAGGACGTGCGTGCGCAGCACACCTTGGCGATGCACTTTGCGACTTTCGCAGGGACGGACGACGAGGCTCTGGAACCATTGGTGCGTCTCGCTCGAGCGCAGGATGGGACAGCAGATTGGCGGAAGGAGAACGGTGTTGGGGCCATCCATGTTGGCGAGTGTGTAATACTGAACTAGATAGACCAGTGCTCCGAGATTTTTTTCTGCGTCCCTTATTCATTCAGACAGCAGCAGCCACATAGACCTTCCAACATTGTTACTTACCGCTGCCCCTCATCAACGATAAAAATACTTGGTAGAATGTACCTTTCGGGAGCATCTGGGGCTGAACAAAGGTCGGTGCCAGATACATGGCGCTCAGGCCGGATCACTGTTCTACATCGTATTTGTTCGACCATGCAGGATATATTCAGACGCCCTCAGACAGATGAGACAGATGGCGAACACTACCCGAAAACATTCTATCCCGGAGAGACGTGGGTCCACATCATGTGATTCTCCGAAAACATCTGGAAATACGCGCCGCGGGCTCTGTATTCGCTTCCAGACATAGAAATCCAGAGCTATGACTGGGAGAAGAAGACAGCGGCGGGATAAGATCTGCGCAAACACAAGAATGTCATCGCGAAGAGACATTCACGCGGGGCTTCTAAAAGTCTCTGGCTCTGCGCAGATCATTTGTGTTTCAGAACCCGAAGTGAGCCGAGGCAAAGACGTATCTCATCGGAACTGCCTAGATGAGTGGGCCGGCATTGTCTCGGAAAGTGCCTTGTTTAGCTCTTATTTCTTGTCCGCCAAGCAACCTTCTCAAGCAAGGCATGCGCTTGCAGAGCTTTTCACTCTAGTTTCTAGAGAGGCTTCGACAGCGAGTTGGCTCAGAACTACGTTGTGGGCATGGTGGTATCTGACATTAGGTAGTTTTCGCATCGCGCATATATCCAGTCACGTTAGCGCGTTTGTGTTGCACCGCCACTCATGTTCTCTTCCTCCTTCACTGCCAAACTCGGCACCAACTACTGCCCCCGGGATGAAGAACTGGACGAAATTCGGGAACTGCTCGTTGAGCCTTCAAAGAGGCTGGAGGAAATCGAGCAGCAGATTCAGAAGACGACGAAAATATTGGGACAACTGCGCGCACAGCAGGCGTCGCTTTTAGCCCATGTTGAAGCTCACAAGGCGCTTATATCGCCGCTACGGCGGCTTCCGGTGGAATTGGTGGAGGAGATATTCTCCGCGTGTCTTCCGGTGGCTCGGAACTGCGTGATGAGTGCAACCGAGGCCCCGGTCATCCTGGGGCGGGTGTGCCGTTCGTGGCGAACGATCTCCCTTACCATGCCCCGGCTCTGGTCACGGCTCCATATTGTGGAGCCTACAAGACCATTCAACTCCCCGTACGGTGTATTTGAGTCGAAGCTCTCGCAGAGGCTTGAGGTGACCAAGACTTGGCTGGAGAGGTCGGGTGAGTGCCCGCTCTCGATCTCATTAGAGAGCAACCTCGACCACGGCCTCACCCCTCCCCTCACACCTTCGAATCACACATCGCTCAATACGAATCTGTTTCTGGAAGCACTGCTTCCATATGCGGCTCGATGGCAGAACATTAGGCTTGTCGTCCCGCCATGGGCGCTCGAGAATCTCTCTCGGTTAACCGAGCACGATGTGCCAATCCTCCGCCGCCTCAAAATCTTCCAGCGTCCAGACCACCCCAACAGCGCACCCCAATGGGCCATATTCGATCTCTTTCGTGCGCCTCAGTTGGCCGAGTTCTCCATCTCGGGCAGCAGCGTCAATCCGTCTGCCCTCCCGCTTCGTTGGGAACAACTCACCTCGCTGTCGATCATAGGACCGGCGTGGGGTGTCGGCCACATCCAGACGATGTCCAATGTGCTCCGTGTGCTGAGCAAGTGCCCGGCGCTGCAAGTATGCAAGCTGCTTGTCAATGCTTCCGATGCCGTCGAGCTTCACAGTACAGAGCTCAGAGCAAGATGCCCTGCATTACATACCATGGAGCTCACCTGTGTTGGAGCCCCGTTACAGACTGCTGACCACCTCCTCGCCCGACTCTCGTTGCCCGTTCTGCGGAATTTCAGACTTCGGGGTCAGGGCGAACCGCACGCCGGTTCATGCGAAGGCTTTGCAAACTCTCTCGCAGCGCTGTCAACTCTGGAGACCGTCACATTCGACGGTGACTCGTTTTCCAGGGCTTCGCTCGCCAGCGTCGTGCGGCGGTTGCCATTGTCACTGCGACGGCTGCAGATAGCCGATCTGGTTCATACATGGCACGCGAACTTCGAGGTCGGCGTTCTGGATGACGAACTCTTGAAAGCGCTGAGCCCATCGCCGCTAAACCCGGACCCCTGGTGTCCTGGACTGCAAGAGCTCGTCATCACACACTGCAATATGGTTTCAGACATGGGTTTGCTACATTTCGTGGAATCACGGATGTCGAACTATGGGGGGAGACCGCTCACGACAGTGCAGGTGTCGTTTGATCGCGAGGAGCAGATGGACATTCGGCCGAGGCTAGAAAAGTTTGGCCTGAAGCTGAATCTGATGTACCTCACGCCTGCGCCGTTCCAGTTCTCGCCGTGGCAGGGACTGCGGGAGGGGTCGGGGATGTTTCCGTTTACTCCGTATGCGGCGTTCTGAGAGGAGGAAGAGACATGTAGACGGGGACAGAGAAACGATGTTACTTGGTGGATAGTGTATTTAACCTCGTAGAAAACGGATCGAAGCATGGACAAGTTGCACAAAGAATATGATGGTTGAATGGCGCGCAAAAGTCCCGCCGGGGCCGTGGGATTCCTCTCAAGCAACAGGTAGAGAGCAGCAATGGGGGGATCTGTAAAAAGCGGGCAAGTACTTGGACAGACAGATGGAGCGACGAGTGAGGGGAACGTGGAATGACGATCACAGTGGAGGATCCGCTCGGAACACGTCCCATCACTGTGATGGATTGGTGTGAAGATATGCACTACCTTTCGACCCCTTCGGGGTGTCATACGAAAAATTGGAACGATACAGAGAAGATTAGCATGGCCCCTGCACAAGGATGACACGCTTTTCCGGAGTGGTAGATCTACGGATCTCAATATTTTTTGCTGACTCTGACTTTCAATTCATTTTCTTTGACTTTGATTTGACTGTGATATGATCTCTTGTGTGATTGGACCTCAGGCTTCTCTCTAATAACTTTCTCAATTTGGCTTACCCCAATGTCTTTCAATTCTCAAAAGGAACAAGGGAGAGTTGTTGTTGCTAGACACAACACATTGGAACAAGTCAACAATGGTCAATTCACAGTTTTCACATACTGTAGACTATATAACAGCCCTCCCTTTCATCATTTACTTAGCAGCACATCAGAAAATGTCAAAATTATAGCTCTGGAGACTGGCTTTGCCCACAACTGCCAGTGGCTGAGTGGCATACAGGATAGACAGCATACATCTTGCACTGGGCAACACATGTGAATTTTTTAGCATCATCAGCAGCACTGTTGCACTTGGGAGAGTGCTTCCCAGCAGGTTCTCTTCATCAAATCCAAATCAAGCAATGTACAGTTGTCAATGTCATAACCCATAGCTATAATTGTTAAGTTCATATGGTGTACAGGCATGCACGTGCTTGATGCCCATCACAGGTTTTTCTCTCTTATATAAGTTTTTTGATCAGTCGCATCCCTCAGTCTTACCACCACTACTGGGCTTGACTGAGGGTGCATATTTCATTATATCTCATCTAGCAACTTATAACTTATTATATCTGTAGACTTACACTAATTGTTGTCTACAGGCAAATAGAGTCTTACTGTCACTACCAGGCTCAACTGAGGACTTACACTACTCATTGTCTACAATATTAACCCATAACCTGTCATAACCCATACTTTTCCTGCAGAACAGACCTTGTTCCCTGTTGGGAAAAATAGGTTGAGGGGTTAATTAGATAATATCAGGGAATGTTTGCAATAGCAGGAGGGAATTGAATGGGATTTGCTTTAGGGCAAACAGATGCCCTTACACTACATACAAGCCTAGTTATACAGTAGTAATACTAGTAATCTAGAATATTCTTCTATTTACCAGTATACTTATGTCCAAATGTGGTTATTTAATTATCTAGAACATTCTGGAACAGCTGAGCTGCATCCCAGGAATTCTCTTTAATTCCAACACTCTCCCTCAGCGTGGCTGGACCAGAGCACAATAGAAAAACAAAAACAAAAAACTCGAAAAATATTTGTGGCCCTGATTTGCCCTGTGCTTGACAGTGCCCGGTATGGACCGGCACTTTGCCCTTCACACCCTCCTGCCGCGGCACGCTAAATTACTTCACATCATGTCATGTCAATCAAAGAAGTTTTTGGAAAATTTTTGGGTGTGCCTCAGAAGGCATAATCATTGTCGTCATCCACAAGATCAGATTCTGTGAAGAAATGAGCACCATTTTGATTGCTCTCTCCCTCTTTGTCATCACTGTTGCGTGTTGGGCAAATGCGTGCAAAATGACCTCTGCCGCTGCATTTATGGCAGGTAGCGGAGTTAGCCAGGCGCGTGTGGGAATTGGAAGGGGTGATGGCATGGTTCTTTGGGACAAAGTGGTTAATGTGATGGGTGGCAGTGCATACAGTAAGCGCAATTTCACCAGCATCAGCAGGACAATTGTTTCGGTGGGCTTCCTCTGTGAGAATTGAGGAGATGGTGGTTTTGGAGGTTGGGGCAGTGTGTAAGGGCAACTCCTGCCAGCCCGAAGGAAGAGAGCACACAGCACACAACAACCTCACATGAGTCTGAGCACAGAGGGGGATCCTTAGAGAACGGCTCAAGGATCTATGTGCCCAGGTGTCACACTATATAGTCAGCTGTGACAAGTGACTAATGATGATGGGATATCACTGCCATGGAACAATGGCAGATGACAAGTAGATAATGACAAACTCAGATAAGATAGTGAGTGGCTCAGAGGGGCCAGTGATGGCCAGCTCCTGAGACACCAACAGTGGAAGGCCACACTGGAGGAGCCCAGTGGCCAGGCCAGTGCCAGGCCAGCCAGTGGAGATATCGGAGGCAAGGACCAATGCCCGACTGGGAAGAGGGGTGGTGCGGATGAGCGCAAGGGCATCTGGTACAAGCCTGTACAGCAGTAGACCACATCCGCAGGGAGAAGGCTGAAGTGAAGGGGGAGGAGTGTGTACGGCAGTAGCACTCCCTGGTGCAAGGAATTGGGCTTGGCTAAACTGCTTGCGGGGATTTGAGGGAGATGGCCAGGGGAAGGAGGAAGAGGGCGGATGTCGGCATGGATGGAGATGAGGATTGGAGGAGGAGGAGGCCGGGTGATTGACAGGTGAGCAGGCATGGGTCGGCAGAGAGGGCGCAGTGGGTCACGTGCATGGTCACGTGCCCAAGGAGCGCGGCGTCCTCTGACAGCTAAGCCCTTTGACATGAGTTCCCATCTGCAGAGAGTGACCCTTTTTCAAGGAGTTGCTGTGACAAAATTATGCCTTTTGAGGAATTGCTGCAACATGAGTGTCTGTTGCTACTAGCTCTGAGTCTGGTATATACTTATAATGTCGCAGACAATACCGCGCAGTGGAGATACGACCAGTAGCGATCACCTATAGAGACAGAGTCTCAGCGAGTGTAGAAGACACAGAGCTAACATTAGCAGTACCTATAGAGACAGAGTCTAGGTACAAGTCATGAGTATGAGTCGTAAGAGATCATAAGAGAGTATGCATACCTCAGCGAGTGTAGAAGACACAGAGCTGAGGATATGGAGCGTATAGTACTAGGTTTATATACTAGTCTGGAGCAGATATCATGATGTCATAGTGGAGTAGTGATATCATAGATGAGTAATGGATGACGCAATAATGAGGTCAGGTATGAGGTCATTGTGGAGCGAGCCAGAGTAATCTAAAGATACTACATATGATGTCATGTCTACATACTGTGATAGTCGCTAATACAAACAAGCTTCAACACTCCCACTCGACTAAACAGTCGGATCACGAAGACCCAAAGACAGCCGATGTTGTTGGAACTTCACCCATGCCAAAGACTTTGTGAGCGTGTCTGAGATCATTGCATCAGTCGGCACATGGTAAAGTTGGACATTGCCAGCTTCGACGGATTCTCGTACGAAGTGATAGCGGATGTCGATGTGCTTTGTCCTCCTATCATGAACTGGATTTACTGCCATAAAGATAGCGCCTTGGTTATCAACACAAAGAGGCGTGGATGGCAAGTCATATCCGAGCTCAGTCAACAAAGTGCGGATCCAGGCAATCTGGCGTGTAGCATCACTCAGAGCCATGTATTCGGCCTCTGTTGAGGACAAAGCGACCGTGGGTTGGCATCTAGAAACCCAGGTCACTGCACAACCGGCGATGAAGAAGGAATATCCCGTGGTAGAATGCCTGTCGTCTTTGTTCTCCGCCCAATCAGCATCAGAATAACCAATAAGGCCTGCGCCAGTGGAGCCATCATAGCAAAGTTGGTAGTGCTTGGTGCCCTGAAGGTACCGGAGTATGTATTTTGCCATGTTCCAATGATGTTCTGACAGGTTGCTGTTGAACTTTGAAAGGCGGATGACTGCGTAGGCAATGTCGGGGCGTGTACCAAGCATGGCTTATAGAAGACTGCCAATCAACTGCTGGTAACGGGTACGACAGTCTTCATCAACTTCTCCATCATGCTTCTCAAGCACGATGCCGGAAGGCAGGGGAGTACGAGCTTCTTTACACGAAGACATCCGGAAACGATCTAGAACTCCAGTGATGTAGGAAGTTTGATCAACCCAGATTTTGCGCGTTTTGCAATCACGAACTATGTTCAGACCAAGGAAATCCTTTGCAGGACCAAGATCTGTCATTTTGAAGCGGTTCGCGAGCAATGATTTGATCCGCACTATCTCTGGCAGATTGTTGCCCATAATGAGCATATCGTCAACATACAGCACCAAGATGATGACCGTATCTCCCATTTGTTGGCGATATGTGTAGACACCGGTGTCGGAGTATGTCCAAGCAAAACCAAGTTCAAGGAGGGCATTGTGGATTTTGATATTCCACTGACAAGACGCCTGTTTCAACCCATAGAGTGATTTACGAAGGCGTGCCACCTTTTCTTTTGGCCATGACGAGAAACCTTTGGGTGATTCCGGAAGTTCCATATAGATTTCTTCCTCCAGATCCCTGTTTAGGAATGCCGTTTTGACATCCATGGCATGAATCTCCCAATCTTTGAGAGCAGCCAAAGCCATAAGTATGCGCAAAGATTTGTAGCGCAATACTGGCGAGAAGGTCTCATCGTAGTCAAATCCATGAACCTGAGTGAATCCCTTGGCAACAAGTCGTGCTTTGAAACGACCGTCACGCTTCCTGCTAAACACCCATCTGCATTTGACAGTCTTTCGACCGCGTGGAAGGCTGGTCAAATCCCAAGTACAGTTTTCCTCGAGAGAGTCCAGTTCTTCGCGCATTGCGCGCTCCCACTTGAGTGCATCCGGGCTCTTTGCTACGTCCCGTACGTTTTGAGGCAAGTCATGCTCAGCTTGGGCAGCTGATAACATGGACTCAATGCTGCTAGGCCTCTGATACGTAGTTCCATCTGGCATAATGCGGGGCTTATTCCGATGAGTGCGGCGATGGGCAATCGGGCGATCGTCTATTGGGCCAGGCATTAGGGGTACTTCTTGCGATCCCGTGACAGGACCTTGTTGCGCGAGGGGTGCCAGTGGCAGTAGGAGAGCAGGAGGTGGTATGCTTGCATAAGGCGTTGCAGGCGCAGGATTATTGATAAGGTCAGGGAAGGTTTCCTCGAATGGTGTGAATGGCTCCGGTCCAGAGGACACATTGCTGGTGACTAGCTTGGACTTGGCAGGGAATACTCGCTCATCAAACTTGACGTTTGAAGAGATTTGTATCTTGCGTTGATTCGGATCCCACACTTTCCAAGCTTTTGTCTCTCGTTCGTATCCAACAAAGATGTGGTTGGGGCGTCCATGCTCCAACCCTTTCGGGCGTTTTTCAACATCCACATAGAGAGAAGCCTTGCATCCAAACACACGGAAATAAGAGACGTCTGGCTTCTTTCCAAGCCACAGTTCCACAGGTGTTTGCCATCCCAATCATGCCATAGGTTGTCTATTATGAACGTGGACAGATGCATCCATAGCACATTGCCAGAAGCCTTTGGATAGGCTGGCATCGAGGCGCATGCATTCCGCTTTCTTGTAGGCTGTGCGATTCCAACGTTCAGACCTCCCATTTTGCTGTGGTTCACGTGGCGCGGACTTAGGGTGCATAATACCACGTGCATTGAGCCAGGCTGTGAGTTCATCGGACATATATTTGCCTCCACGATTTGACCGGAAGGCCAGTACTTTTGTGCCAAGCTGACGCTCTGTAAGGGCAACAAAGTTTTTAATCGCAGTAGAGGCTTGGTCCTTTGATTTAATGAACACCATCATGCCAAAGCTCGAGAAATCGTCATAGAACGAAATTGTGTAGCGTGAACCTTCCAACGACTGAGTAGGCCAGGGGCCCATCAAATCAGTGTGGATAAGCTTGAGGGGTTTGCTAGCACGTTTCTCTGATGCAGGGTACAGATGCTTGTGCCATTTTCCAAGCATACATCCATCGCACATGCCACGCTGGTCTTTATTGCGTCGCAAGGGGGGAACACCTTCAACTTGTGTCGGCAAGTGAGTAAGGGTCCTCCGAGCCGCATGACCAAAACGCTTATGCCACAATTCACGATTGGTAGTTTCCAGGGAAGCGAGCGCGGTAGACTCGTGAGATGCAGACACAGACAGTGCCACGAGCTCCTCGGGGTAGTACCAGTAGCAGCGATTGCTTGCTTTAAAGGTCATCAAGACATCCCCATGTGCTTTTCCCTTGTTGAGCCAATCCTTGGTGACTAGGATTGCCTTGTTGTCACCAACCACGGTGTAGTAACCAGCCTGATCGAGCGCATACCCAGAAAGGTAACACCCTCTTATGTGCGGGTTGTAGATGACATCCTTCAGCGTGAAGGTGTAGTCTATGCCACTACTAGTATGACCCTGCAACACAATATCTCCAACGGCTTCATTCTTGAAGCGAGCTCCCGACCCAACGACTACATAGGTGTCAATCCTGGCGGAGGGATTGACCTCCAGCAGCTGTTGAGAGCTACCACACCACCTAGGCGCTTCGCGCAAGGTTCAGGAGTGGGATTGACCAAAGGACCAGTGCCTGGTGGGTATGTCCGCTGTACAATAAAAAGATGTAACGTAAAATGCGCGCAAGCAATCATGGACGGAATAGCTAACGGCGCGTCTGCCAACTGAATGACTCCCTGACGCTGCTTGCGTAACCCCTTGAGAGTGAGAGCACAAATGCGAGGACCAACATCTAGCAAGTGGGACAAGCACACAAAGACGGCACTCTAGAAGGGCTGAACGAGTGAAAGATACTCGCCTTAGTAAAGGGAGTAGTTCGATGTTTCTTGATTTGCCGCTAGTGGTTCAGGCGGGGCCCATAACCTGTTGCAGACAATACCGCGCAGTGAAGACACAACCAGTAGCGATCACCTATAGAGACAGAGTCTCAGCGAGTGTAGAAGACACAGAGCTAACATTAGCAGTACCTATAGAGACAGAGTCTAGGTACAAGTCATGAGTATGAGTCGTAAGAGATCATAAGAGAGTATGCATACCTCAGCGAGTGTAGAAGACACAGAGCTGAGGATATGGAGCGTATAGTACTAGGTTTATATACTAGTCTGGAGCAGATATCATGATGTCATAGTGGAGTAGTGATATCATAGATGAGTAATGGATGACGCAATAATGAGGTCAGGTATGAGGTCATTGTGGAGCGAGCCAAAGTAATCTAAAGATACTACATATGATGTCATGTCTACATACTGTGATAGTCACTAATACAAACAAGCTTCAACATATAAGATCAATTCTACAGTAGTGGTCTGACTGCCTTGCCATTGTCAACACTATTCACAGTCATTGACTGGGCAGCAAACCCTTAAGTCCTACTGAACACAACACTGGCACCTGTGACATGATACACCAAGTGGTTCAAGAGTAAACTCTGTAAAAGCGCAAAAATACACCCTTATTGAGTTGGTGCAGAGCATGCCTGGTAGCCAGCCTATCAACAAGCTGAAAGATATTTTCAGCATAGATGAGACAGGGCATTTCTGGGTGTGCATAAACATCTGCATTGGATATGGCTTCAACTGATTTGCAGTTCACCTCAGAATGCCATCTAATCAAGAGCTGATAGATTGAGAAATGTCTGGCATCAAGGCTGTAAAGAAGTGCATCATGTATGCATTGATAACAAACACCAGTGGCTCCAAAAAGCTCCCTCCCCTGATCATTGGAAAGTGGGAGCAGCCACGGTGTTTCAACAAGCAGACTGCTGCTCAGCTGGGCTTCAAGTACTGGAACAATGTGAAAGCGTGGATGACAACAGTGATCTATTGGGAGTGGCTCCAGGAGGTCAACATGGACATGCAGCAACAGAAATGACACATTCTCCTACTGCAGGACAACTTCAGTGCGCACAAGCCTCCAGATGACATCACAAACATTGTTGTCATGGAATTCAAGCCAAATCTGACTGCACATGTCCAACCTATGGATGCAGGCATCATCCGATGCTTCAAGTCGCATTAAAGATGACTGTACATGCAAATGATGCTGGACAACCACAATCAGGGAGTCACTCCATCCCAAATCTACAAGATCAGTCGACTGGAGGCAATGCAACTTGCTGACCTGGTATGAGACAACATTTCCGCATCTATCATGGCCAACTGCCAGGTCAAGTTTGGCATCTTGCTGAATGCGCAGACCCATGCAGAGATCTGGGCTGAGCTTCAGGTCAAGCAGGACAACAATGTTCTGATGGTTCTGGGGGACACCCTGCCATCTGAAGACACGTCAGCTTCAGACGCAACAGCTACAGTGGAGGAAGAGCAGTGTGAGTATAAGAAAGTGTTGGTGGACATGCTGCACACACTTCATGAGTGTGGTGCTTTGCAGCCAAGGAACACAGTCAATATTGCAGCACTCATCAAACCCCCCAAAAAGGACACTTTAGACCAGGTGCCCAATGAAGAAATCTTTTGCGCTGTGATGGAATTACGCAACACAATCAATCATATAGACACCAACAGCAGTGACAACAAACGTGGTGAAGTGATCCTGCTATGGCCATCTTGGGTTGAAGCACTCAATGCTGCTGAAACACTCTGTTAATACATCTCAAGTGTGGATTCCTCATTTGTGCGCTCACTGGAGGCTGGACTGGCTTGTCTTGGTTGGGAGACTCAGCTTGAGTGCACCCTTGCAATGGGCAACACACAAATTCTTGATTACTTTACTCCTCGTACACAGTAGAATATTTCTATGACTTTTGACAATTTTATTACATTTTTCTGAGCGCTCTGAGGGCGCCTCTCTTGCAAACCATAATCTGTCATAACCCATAGCTGAGGGTCTGCCCTGATCCCTATGGGTTATGACAGTGACAACTGTATAATCTTTTCAGCGACCCAAGGGTGTTTCCAATGTGACTATGACAACACTGCATCATGGCCTGACTGTGCATGCAAGTTGGACCCAAGGTCAGGTCTTGTAGCTGTTACAAATCCTGACCATATCATTTGGTCCCCAGCTGTGGAGGCAGTGGATCACTGAAAAGATTATACATTGCTTGATTTGGATTTGATGAAGAGAACCTGCTGGGAAGCACTCTCCCAAGTGCAACAGTGCTGCTGATGATGCTAAAAAATTCACATGTGTTGCCCAGTGCAAGATGTATGCTGTCTATCCTGTATGCCACTCAGCCACTGGCAGTTGTGGGCAAAGCCAGTCTCCAGAGCTATAATTTTGACATTTTCTGATGTGCTGCTAAGTAAATGATGAAAGGGAGGGCTGTTATATAGTCTACAGTATGTGAAAACTGTGAATTGACCATTGTTGACTTGTTCCAATGTGTTGTGTCTAGCAACAACAACTCTCCCTTGTTCCTTTTGAGAATTGAAAGACATTGGGGTAAGCCAAATTGAGAAAGTTATTAGAGAGAAGCCTGAGGTCCAATCACACAAGAGATCATATCACAGTCAAATCAAAGTCAAAGAAAATGAATTGAAAGTCAGAGTCAGCAAAAAATATTGAGATCCGTAGATCTACCACTCCGGAAAAGCGTGTCATCCTTGTGCAGGGGCCATGCTAATCTTCTCTGTATCGTTCCAATTTTTCGTATGACACCCCGAAGGGGTCGAAAGGTAGTGCATATCTTCACACCAATCCATCACAGTGATGGGACGTGTTCCGAGCGGATCCTCCACTGTGATCGTCATTCCACGTTCCCCTCACTCGTCGCTCCATCTGTCTGTCCAAGTACTTGCCCGCTTTTTACAGATCCCCCCATTGCTGCTCTCTACCTGTTGCTTGAGAGGAATCCCACGGCCCCGGCGGGACTTTTGCGCGCCATTCAACCATCATATTCTTTGTGCAACTTGTCCATGCTTCGATCCGTTTTCTACGAGGTTAAATACACTATCCACCAAGTAACATCGTTTCTCTGTCCCCGTCTACATGTCTCTTCCTCCTCTCAGAACGCCGCATACGGAGTAAACGGAAACATCCCCGACCCCTCCCGCAGTCCCTGCCACGGCGAGAACTGGAACGGCGCAGGCGTGAGGTACATCAGATTCAGCTTCAGGCCAAACTTTTCTAGCCTCGGCCGAATGTCCATCTGCTCCTCGCGATCAAACGACACCTGCACTGTCGTGAGCGGTCTCCCCCCATAGTTCGACATCCGTGATTCCACGAAATGTAGCAAACCCATGTCTGAAACCATATTGCAGTGTGTGATGACGAGCTCTTGCAGTCCAGGACACCAGGGGTCCGGGTGAAGCAGCGATGCAGGCGCGGAGACCTGTGTGAAACGAGAATATTTGTCTTGTGTCAAGATACGATGCTCCGCTGAAGGTCAAGAATTGTTTCATTCAAAAACAAGAAAAATCCTGCGTAAACGCGGTGGGTTGTGCATCTAGGCAGTAGTAGTAAGCAACGGAAGGCAGCAGAGCAGCGGAAACGAGCCAGCGAGCGGTAAGTAAGGGGAGTGTCAAGTACGCGGTACGAAGATATCGGATGACTACAATTAGGTTTAGTAAGTAAGGAGGCTACAGATACAGTGTTTTGAATTGTCCTGGTGTCCGTGCGGTGTGTAGTAGTGTCCGTGCACAAATAGTCCGAATGTCTAGTAGATAGTCCAAAGTCCAATGCTCGTAGATGTGCATGAATAATCGTAAGAGAGTCCGGTTGTCCGAAGGGCAAAGATGAATGGAAAAGATGTAAGGAGCGAAGAGGGTCAAAGAAGGTCCGTAGGGCCGAGATAGTCCGTGTCAGAAAGTGAATCAGTGCCTGCAAGGCTGGAACGAGGATAGCCAGTCCGGTCGAAGATCGAAGCATGGTCATCTCTTGGAAGACGGTAGTCGTGACTTGCTTTTTATAGCTGCGGCAAACGTTTCTGGATCTTGGTGGCAGCGATGCCTGTGGAAAAACTGGTCAGCGATGGATACAAGACCGAATATGAGCCGACAACGCACCCAGGATCGGAAATTTGGCCGACAGGCTGTCCATGGCATATAGGACGGACGCCAGGTCATTGCGGATACTGTCGCTGCTGACTGGAGGCCATGATGCATTGACGGTCATGATCTCACGGAGGAGCACCTCAGCCACGGACGTCCAACAATGCTGCAAGAGAAAGAAAGTGAGTCTTGACGGTGATCAAGCACACAAACGCCACTTACACCCAAGATCGGGTCCAGGTAAGCAAAGTCGGTTTCGGAGAGTTGTGTGATAATAGCGCAGCACGCTCTGGCAGCGTGCGAGCACTGTTCGTAAGAGACCGGGTCGTTGGACGCGAGTCGGTCATGTAGAGAGATCAAGGCAGTGTGGGCGAGAGTGTGCACTGCTATGAGGAGATGTTTGTCCTCAGGATCCAACGAAGAATGCAGCGAAGGCAATGTCGTTATGAACGAGCTGATAGCCAACTCAAGTTCAGTCGACTTCATTCCTACAAAAATGCTCAGCGCATGACGGAAGCCAAGAACGCTAAACATACCTGAGTCCCAGTTGACGGAAAGGCTGGCGGCCCGTTCGAAGAGAGCCGATGCCTTGGAACGCAAGGCCCCCATTGAGTACCCATCGTCGGACACGTCTCCTTCCAGAAACGACTTGATTGTCTGGAAGTCGACGCTGTTGTTGAGAGCACTCTGAAACGCATGTCAGAAGTTGGAAGCATGAGTCGGCGATCCGAGTTACGTACCCCATGGTATTCAGCGACATCCCTCGGCCAAGGGCAGTTGATGGAGGTCTCGGGGATGACAACCGGCTTGCGTAGCACCACAGACCAGCATCGGTCGAGATTGTACACCTGCCAGAAAGCGAGTATCCGCTCGCCGCGCTTCATGTCGATCTTGTACGGCTTCAGTTCGTCACCAGCGTCGAGGAACCAATCACTGTCGGACGCGGCGGCCGCGTTGGTGTGCAGCCCGCACTGGACTGCCATGGCAGCGGCGGCGCTCGCGTGGTAATTTCCCTCGACTAGGCGTCCGTTGGCCAGGAAATACGAAGACAGAATGCAAGAAGCACGGATGATATCGACGATACTGTCCCCTTCCCGTAAACCATCCCGCACTGCATCCAGAGCCAGCGCGAGGTAGTGCTCCTCATGCTGGGAAAGCAGCTCCGGCCGCGAAATGAAACATGCCCAGAGGAAGATGGCGGACATCAGCGCCGGATGACGCTGCTCGTGGCTCGGCCGATTGAGACTATCGATCAGCTCGCCGGTTTGGATCTCGAGCCCACACTGATGACGATGTGGCGAGAAGATCTCTAGACTGTAAGAGAGCGTGAGACCGGACCGATTCTGGAAAGAAGACACGCATACAGCATGATGGCGAGATCCATCGGTGGCTGGAACTGGGGTTCAGGGTCCGGGAAGAACAGTTCCGGACTGAAGAGCGGGGGCGACGGCGAGACAGCCTAGGCATGCGATGAGTAACAGCCACGAAAATGTGCGAAAGGAACGCACATTGTTGCACCAAGAACCCTCTGGCGAGTGTGCCGAGTCTAGGGATGAGGAATGAAAATCACGGGGTCAACTAGCAGCATGGACGACTAACCGGAGGGGAAGGGAGAGTGGGAGAACGAAGCCTCGGCCGAGTCATACGACGAAGACGGAGGCGACTCAGAGAACCCTCGGATGTGTGGATCGAAGAGTGCGACCGCCGGCGAAAGATATTCTGGGTCCTCGAGCTCTCTCACGCGATGTTCGAGGCGCACGATCGTCTCGCGTAGAATCTGCGTCCGCGTCTTGCTCTTGCCGTCGTCGTACTCGCAGGCATCGCCCTTTTTCGCGCGGGAGCACTGCTGACATGCGGGCTTGGCACCATCACATCTCTGCAAGGGACAGATGTAAGAACACGGTCAGGTCAGGAGGGGACGCGAGAGGGGCACACACCATCTTGCGTTTCCTGCAGAAGATAAAACATATGAGTGAGCGACGGCGTCCAGTCACCGGGAAATGACGCGTGCGTACCTGCATCGAAGACACGCCTTGCCTCTCTGCAAAGTACCAGGCACGTTATCCGGGTGTGCGTTCTTGTGGGCCATTATGATGATTGCCAAATACGATTTAGTGTACAGGGAGCCGGGGAAAGATGTGCGCGATATGTAAATCGACGGGGAAAATAGGCCGGAAGGAACAAAAACGGGGGAAGAACCTCGATGCGGGTAGGGGACCAAGGGAAGCGCCTGAACCGGGACTATAGAACGTCGGCACAAGGCGTACACATCAAACGAAGAAAATGAAGTTGGGGAGGGAGGACAGAACGACAAAGGAGTCTAGCATCTCTGCCAGGACGGTTATAAACCGAAACATCAAGTGGCCTCTGCCGAGGCGTACCACGGGGCTCTTTCCTCTTCCGGCCAACGTCTCAGGGGTGGACAAGTGATCGATTGATCGTTGATCTTTGCCGATCAAATTGCCGAAACACATTTCATCTTGCATTCCGAGTCCCCAGTGGAGCGGACATTTAGTCAGAGTCAGCTGTGCCAGTCTAGGCTGTACAACCATACACCCCTGCGAGGTTCGATTCACGGTCCGACATCTCTTCCGACCTCAAAGGATCGATGGGAATGCGATATCTCTCACAGCGGCCATTTCAGGCCGCATTTCGTGGTATAGCCTTCTTCGGAACCGAAATGCCATCAAGGCATGCGCTCTCGCGACGTGATTCCGGGTCTGAGAGTTTACGTTCAAGAAGTACATGCTGCACCGACTGTTCTGCCTCCTGGAATGTCGACCGGCTCAAGAGTCAAGTCCGCCTCCTCCCCCTCCTTTCCCGCATCAGTGGGCCGTGATCCCCAAAGACCAGGCTAGAGCTGTCATCGGACCATCATCTGCCCCGGCTGATACATGTCGGGTCTCCGTCCCCCTCAGCTCGGACCGCACTTCGAGACTTCCACGTTGTGCTACGAGGCGCTGGTTCTTTCTCCGGTCGTCTCTTTTCCGGGCTCTCTGGACTGCATTCAGATGGGGAAACCCGAATCAAGTAGTACCCTATGCGCAAATTCGGCGTCGGCAGGACCTCGGGGCTTCTATTTAAATTTCTCTCGCTTTATTGCACTTCCGAATCAGCCCGAAACGCTCCGGCGGAATCCGCGGCTGCTAAACAAGTGCAGCGTGCCTGAAACGAGGGTGCGGCAAGCCTCCGCTTTGCGTCACTTTTTCGCGGGATTCCGTTCGGCGAACTCACGATACTTGTGCACACGTTGTGCTGACTGGTCGCACCGTGCATCCAATCTGCCTGTTTATCATCTTCACTGCCTCTTCTTCGAGTTTCAACAGATTCTCAGGTGGAAGGAAGTCCTTCCTTTCAGGCCTCCCAATCAACAAACGCTAAGCATGGGACGGGATTAATTGCTTACTTGCTCAAGCGCGATTGTTGCGCAGGACTTGAGCGCAGAGTTGCCTTGCAACATATATCATGTTTCAGTCAGCCATCCCAATGTGGAAATCGGATTGCCTTTTCTAGGCGGTCGAGTCTTGGCGCATGCGAGCAACTTGCTGGTACCTTGCGGGCCCACGGTGGTCCGGGTTTAAAGCTTTGAGACGCCGACCCCAGAGCTAAATATCAGACTGAAGCCTCTGCTTCGAGTTTGCTTCAGTAGCACTGTCGAATCACTGGTAGACAGACCATTGTACACAATACACCCAATGGATAGGAGGTAAACGAAGGCTAACAAACAAGTAAACAAGATTCTAATACACCCCATTCACAGTCGGGGTCGTTGACGGGGGCCCATACAGTTTCGGCTGTTGTTGCTGTTCTAGCAACCGTCGTTCCCGCGCATGGGCCTGTCGGACATAGGCGTAGCGTTGGAAATGATTCAATGCCTGGAGAAACATGACTCCAACCTACTCAGAATGTCAGACTTTGATCCCAGTCAATGACCATCTCTCGCACCGGGAAAGCACGCAGCTGATTGAATAGATCTACTGCCGCATCACGCACGGTCTCTTTCTGATGGAATAGAGCGAATGCCAGGTGCAAGAGGCCGCCGCCGTGGGGCATAAGGTATGCCAGCAACTAGGAACGACTACTGTTAATCAGTTCACAGAAACAATACCGAAAGCTGACCTCTACAACTTGGTCGTACGTTTTGACACTCTCTGCCAGCGTCTTCATGATCGTAGTAATCTCCGCGTCCGACATATTCTTTGCATGTCGTATCCTGAAGAGTTGGTGCGAAACGTCAAAGCCTTGGATCGAATCCATCAGCTGCGAGTTGCGGAAATCCTAATAGGCAACGCTCAGGGCTGTCATGTCACGTATACTGACAGCATCACTCACAGCACAAGCATACTCGAAGCTATTCGTCTTGCGCCATCCCTCAATCCGCTGCGAGTTGGCAGCGAGCTCTTTCCGTCCTGCCGCGTCATCATTGAACACAATCCCGCTCCCCAATCTCGGATTCGGCAACCGGCTGTCAAACCCGGAGCTCGGATACCCGAACTTGGTGGAACCAGTGCTGTCCTCCTCGTATCGTGACGCCAGCCGTACGAATCGCAGAACATATTCCGTAAACCGGATGCGCACCAGGCTTTCGCCGTAGTGATACTCAATCGCAGCTTTAATCTGAATCAAGGTCACCCATCTGTCATGGAGCCAGCCATGCAGCACAGCCCACGCACCTCCTCCATAAATATGTTGTCCGCATTGTGATCCGCTTTCGGCAAGAAGTCAGTCTTAGCTCCCGTCCCATTCTCCTCACTAGGAAGAGACGTTTCTGGATTGAATGTCGCTGTCCTGGCGATGCCTGGGAAGGCGAAAGTCGTGCTGACTGGATGCGCAGCATGGATATCGCGTGCGACAGTCACAGACCCAGTCGAGATGTCTAGCAGAAGATCCCAGGTGGGCGATGACTTGAAGATAGGATTGGTCACGCCTGCGATGAAAGCTGGGCTGGAGTGTTGTTTAAATGTCGTCGTCACCAGAACAACCGCGACTTACACTGCTTCCCATTCGTCGCGATTGTTCAGATTGGCATATGGAAACGCACGCTCGATGAAACCGCGCAGGACCGCACCGCACCCAGAGCCGAGAGCACAAGCAGAAAGCACGAAACTGGACACCTCTCCGGCAGGTTTCTTGTGACCGAGGAAGATGATTCTTTTCCCCGTCACAAGCGCATTGAACAGCAGGATGATCGGGTGCGTTTGCTGTCCGTTGGTGTGCAGATGAGGATGGAAAGGTCCAGTTACGAGATTGGGATTGGAAAATGCTTTGACGAGCGTAATCAGAGAATACTAGCACCGTAAGGTCAGCAGGGCATCGTCACTCAAAGAAGACCAAGCTCACGTCGCCAACCTCTTCCGGAAATGTAGCCAAGGGCATCTTGATGGGAAGATGATGGTCCTTGTATTGCACTGTAGTATGGTAGAAATGGGTGTCCTTCGTCATTCCGCCGCGATAGGATGCGTCCATGTAGGACGGTGCGGCCATAGCCGACGGGCGCAACATACCATCCTTCATGTGAGAGGAAGCAGACGAAGCATCTGTTGACCTCCGGCGTCGATTTGTGGCGCCCGTTACCGCGGTGCCAGCGTAAGACATCACACTCTCCACTTCTCCATCCTCAGCACTAGCTCCTTCTGTCCCACTCTCCTCCCCGACCCAGACCGCACTACCTCCGAGTGAGAATGAAGCTTCAGATGGCGAAGACTGGGCAGTGGAATGCGCCGGTGGAGGAGGGGCATGAGGCAACTCCTCTCGTTCTTTACTCCGCATCAAGATCCCCTCCTCGAAGCTCGAAAACGATTCTGCCGACTGCGTCGCTTTATGCTGGAGGTTCGCTTTGCTGTTGTTCCAGCTCTGCTTTGCGGGCGTTGAGATCTTCTCCGCGAAGATGTCTTTGCGCTCAGACGAGCGCATGACCATCTTTTCGTTGCGCGATAGAAGTGGCGCCCCAGAAAGATCCATCGAGTTAACTGCGTCGAACAGTCTCGCCAGGCAGTCTTGCGACGGATCGGCCAGGTAGTCGTCAAGCGCCATAAGTAGCACAGGCTTCGCCGGGTGTATGAGTATAGAGACCAAGGCCAAGCAGCAACGCAGGGCACACCTTGAATATCTGAATAAACGGATGCCTCGTGCATATCGCCAATGCCAGTACCCTTGCCCCCCGATCCAACGTCTTGTCGTGCTTCGTGCGCACCAAATTTAGCACGCATAGCAAGTCCGGCTTGTCCCCCTGGCTTCCGGGACTCCCTTCCCCCAGGAGCGGCGTCGTCTTGACTTCAGGTGTGTCGAGCGCAAGGACGGGGGATATGGTGTTGAATGCCGTCTGATTGAGGAAAAACACGGTCCAGTCGTCCAGCTGCGTTTCGGCACCGTCCGGTAGCATAGACATGGCGAGAACGCTGGAACGGATGACAATCAAGCCCAGGTAACAGCATAGAGGCGTCTACGAAACACACACCTCTCATCGACACCGAGCGGCTGAGGGAACTGATATTTGAGTTGGGCTCCGAGGAGAATGTCAAACTCTGCCAGGAGCACGAAGGAGCAGTGACCACCGTCGCTTCCCATGGCCAGCGGAATAGAAGAGTAGTAAGGTAGATAGGTAAGTAGAAGATGGAGATGAAGGTCGACTTCAGTGCATAGCAGAAGGCGAGGTGATGGCAGCGATCAAGATATGATATTGGCGTGCATCAATTCTGACAGGGCGTGGAGATACATTGTCGCAGCTATCCGTAAGACACAAAAGTACTTATGAAAGCGGGAATTTATGGATCTCAACCGCTGACTACACCGAGGAACAGCAAGCCGCGTTTAGCTCGAGCGACTGACTCTTCCAAGTCCCTTCCATCAGCAGCTGTCCAACGCAATTCCTGCGGCAGTTCTTCCGGAGGCAGTCCTCCCCGGATGGCAGTCTCGAACGCCGTCTTGCGATGATTCAGGCGCGCCATGTGTCGAGGATCGGCATGTCCGGTGAAGATGACAAGGGCTGTTCTCGGTGGCAGATTCGCGTAAAGGGTTTTCAGATGTTGGTCCAGCTGAGCGAGCACCGGATTCAGGACATCTGGCAATGGGGGAGTCGCCATCGGCGGTGCAGGTGCTCCCTGTTCAGGTTTGGGCACTGACCCTGACACCATGTTAACATTTTCTTGGAGAAGAAGCTGGAAGACTTACAGCCCAGCACGTTCGCAAGCGCCATGAACCTACCAAACACGAAATCGTGTGAAGGCAGGACATCCAACAGCCCGGCAAGGATTTCGGCGTCATCCTTGCACCCAACAGAAGTCGTCGCCTTGCTGCCATGCATCAGGCCCGGATTGCCGATATCGACCACTGCCGACCGATGCTTCTCTCCACCGCTCTTGGATGAACGGCCCATCCGTTCAAATATTGACTCGTAGTCCGTCTTGAACTCGCCAAAACCAGGACCCATCTCGACCTTTTTCTTCAGCAGATCCAAACAGGCTTGTGCATCCTCCTGAGGATCATGTCCCCCATCGCCACGGGTCTGGATCTCTCGACCACACCATTTCTTCGTGAGCCAAGCAAGACCCGGTTTCAGCGGCCGCCCGCGAGGATGATGATATAGCAGAGCGGTATCGATGCATATGGGATGACAGAGTTTGAGTGCTTTGAGATCGGACTCCAACGAGTGGCCGACAAGGATGGGTGTTAAGAATGGTTCGGTAGGTTTCGCAGCGGCGGAGAAGGGATTCGGAGCAGGCGGAGAGAGCAATTTGAGTATATGCGTTTGGACCTGAGCTAGGGTGGTTGTGACCGGTGCTAGCTGTTCAGCTGTGATACCTGACCATCTAAAAAGTCTTAATGCAGACTCATTTGCTATCTCGCCGGACACATACCGTGTCAAGTAGTCGATGACGGGATTCGCGGGTTTGACGAGCTGATCATACACGATAGTCCCCGTGTAGTATTCAATGATAGAAACACGAGTAAGCTCCTTGCCAGCTTGTGTTTGACACTAGTTGTCAACACATCAGTTCTGCTCTCCAATTGGTGGAAAGGCTCACCATCTCGCAATCGACACAGTACACCTTCCGCTTCGGTAACTCTAGCCCTTCTAGAAGCGCTGTCGTCGGCTCCTGGGGCGTTTCTACCCACCCCTCCGTTTGCTCAAACACATCAGCCATATACGATGGCACTGGGTACTCATTCTCCACCATCTGTTCGAGCGTGAGCAGGTATTGTGCTGGGTCTTTTTCGCGCGTACGTTGTGCTGCAATGATTCAGCATTAGGAAGACGACAAGCAAGGGCGCATACTCTGGTTTTGAGTCAACCGCTTCCTGAGCTCAGCCGAAGTGATTGGACCTTGGAAGAACGCCGTCAAGATGCTATGCATATGCGTTTGGTCGCCCGGAGCCCTCGTCGGGCAGGCGTGACTGAAAGTCGAGGCGATGAAAGGAATCGACGCAGATGACGAGCTCGGTGTAGGGAGCGGGATAGATAGCGGAATGTTCGGATTCGCTGTCGCGACGGTCGGGAGGGGAGGAAGATCCAAAAGCTCGGGCGTGATGCCGGGAATGAATAGTGTGACCACTTTTTGGATGAGTTTTGAATCCTGAACTCTGCATTAGCGAGTGCAGATTAGAGTAAAGATGTGCCATACATTGATGCGGAGCCAGTTCGGAGGAGATGCGTCAGCGCTCATATGCAGAACGAGGTCTCGAACATCCTGTCGTCGGTCAATGAAAAGACGCTGGCCAAAAGATATAACACACCTCAATGCCGATCGCATTAGTTCTCTTGACTATCTCGCTATTCGCGTACATGAAGCGCGGTTGCATATTCTTGCCCCATAATTTAGAGAGCCGTGTAGACAAAAGCGCGCGTAGACTCACTTCGCCTTTCGAGACTTGTTTATCTAGCTTTTTCTGCTTGCGCTTGGAAACTTTGGTCCAGCCTTCAGAGTCAGCCCCATTTGCATGATCGTCCGGAGTCTGAGACGGTGTGAATGCGAGTTTCGGCTTTTTGTTTTTGTGCGATTTATCGGCCACCGGTGAGCTGGTTTGAGAGCGCTTCATCGGGGTAAGGCGAAGAGAGCCTCGGCGCAGATGGGTTGTTTGATCCAGTTTGGCAACTCGGGACTGTCCGCACCACAGCTGCAGTGCTTCCTCATGTCCTGCACCGACCCAAGGCATAGACGATCAAGCACCCGTGGCAACGCATATCCATACTGTCTGCCATTCCATGGATGCGGGCACTCTCCGATGGGTGATGCGCCGAATCCGTTCTCGAGTGATAGCTTACAGCGTACGCCGGGATGTTCGATTACCTACTTTAGATCTGCTCCTGTTCACATTTTCCAGCAAGTCCTATTCATAAGCTACCTCTTTTAATATGTCTGTATTGCAAGGTAAGAAATCTTCCTCAATAGTCCAGGAGAAACATTCTAGCGACCTATGCTGCTTTCGGAAAAAATTTGGCTCTGGATCGTGTTTCGGGGGAGGTGGACGCGCCAAATATTCGCGATCAAAGGAGTACCAGCCTACCCACTGGAGACCCAGACACGGAGTTCTCCAATGTTCCCAGTTGAAGTGTACAGTGTCGACATGGGGGCAGACCGTCCAGCAGCCATCGCGCAACCGGAGATGTGTTGATGCCACAGAACAGATTCAAAAAGTCGAGCGAAATCTTCACCGTGTGTAGATGCGTGAACTGTTGGAGAGCAGAAAGAATCCTGGGCTAGCAGATGGTTAGCCAAAACGATGTCAAGACAAGGATGAACTGACGTCTCTCGTTTCCTCGAGACTTTTCCGCCGCGAGTGAGGAACAAAACGATCATAAGTGGCGTGTCCCAGCTCTAAAAACCGAAGCGTGGGGACTTTTGTTGCGATAGCTTCCACAAACTCGGCCGTCGGAAACTCACTCCGAGTGAAAGTGAGCTGTGCGAGGACAGGCAACGCCGGGATACGTTCTAAAGCCTCGGTGGCACTGGCGTTCGTCAACGCGAACTGGCCACCCTCAGGATAGAGGCGAGGATGCTCGACACGATACGAGTCCCGCTCAGCCACGATGCAAAGAGTGTGAAGGCTCGTGGGCAGTAGAGCGAGAATAGGATCATCTGCGCGGACGTTGGAGATAGTGACAGATGTCAGGTAAGGACAAAGCGACGAGAGCGTCAGGTCGCGATCGGTAGCATAGGGAAACGGCGGATGAAGCTCGGTGGGACCGCGAGTGATTTCTGCGGCGTAGAGGAGTGCAAGTTCCCGGAGGAGTGGCATCTTGGACAAGAGCGCGTGTGTCAACATATACGGGGAGGGCGTATGCTCTCTCGCCGTGAAGCTACGTAACCGGGGCCACTCGAGCTCAAGAAAGTCCTCTGGCATGAGATCACCTGAGATTTCGAGCGATTCCATGTGACCCGCTACCGAACGGAGCAGCTGTCCCACGTTCCTACGCTCAGCTTCACGGTCGATTCCATTCGGTCTTGTGACGCCATTGAAGCCGCATATACTGAGCAGGAGATGCCGTAAATGAGGAAAGGAGAGGTCCACAGGGAGATGCGCGTGATCGAAACGTATGCCAGGGATCTCGAGAGATTGCAGACTGGCACTCATGCTGAGGCTCCGCAGCAAAGGCACCGGCACTGGATCCTCGAAGCGAAGCGTCATATTGCGTAGAGCGGAAAGCTTGGAGAGCGCGTCGTATAGTTCATCAGGGAGCGAAATCGGACGCGGACGTCGGACTGCCCGGTCTCGGATGTTGCATGTGCTAGAGCCAGCGTCAGCTGTCTTGCATGGAAGGCGAACGCGTCTTGCACTATGTGAGGCTGGATCGACTCCGGCCATACAGCCTGGCCAGGAACGTTCCAGTTTTAGACTTCATAGAAGATGATAGGTGCAACCTCGCTACGCAGAGCGCGGCACGTCTCCGAGAGCGGAAAGAGGAAGCGTCGTTTGCGCTTTTCCATGTCCCAGTCTTCCGTATTAGCTCCTCCCCGCGGAGAGATGTCCATGACAATAGAACAGATGAGGTTCAGAACATCTGCGGGAATCGAAATGAGGGACATGAGACGTCGGAGAACAACGGCTTCAAGGGCCAGTTGGAGTGGACAGGATAGGAGCTGATAGGAGGCGGCATGGTCGCCCAGCCACAGTATCACGGGATTGACTTGCAAATCATCAAAACCGCTCCAACGATGGTTGTGCGCAGAAACTGGCGGAAACGCTAGATACAGTATTTATGATCTGCTGATACCCACGGGATAAGTTGTCAATCGAGGCCCTTCATGATAACATAACCATGGAATACCCACCGAAATTGTGCTCACGTGATCGCGTTTTTCGAGATCCACGTGAGTGACCGTCCAAATGCGGAGCAGTCAGTCACTTATCGGCTTCATTCATGCCACCACAGCCTAGTAAATGGCTCTGAATCCTTGGAGGAGACTCGAATACAACTACTAGAGAGGGTGGAAGCGAGCCTAGACACAACCGGTTTTGCCACTTGAAGCCACGGACCGACTCGCCACTCCTAACTCGAGATGTGAAGCCGCAAGACCTTACGTCGACTCCTAAGCCTTTGGTCTGCCTCTTACGTGTCAGCTGCTCCGCGAGGGTTTCAACTCGCTTGAACCACCTTCACTCCTCTCACCATGAAGTCTAACGGCCGCGTCATCCCTAGAACGCTCCTCAACACCCGTCTTCTCTTCCTTGCGACAACCACCGCATTAGCGCTTGTCCACCAGACACCGTTCGAGTTCGCCACGTTGGACCCACCATGAACAACGTTCTCTACATCCCATCAAGACCGTGGCAGTCATCGGCGCAGGGCCCGCTGGTCTGCAAGCTGCATCGCAACTTCTCGAAGCGGGACTGAGTGCGCGCATGTTCGACCGGGCGCCCTCGCCCGGGGGGACGTGGTTCTACACGGATGAGGTTCCCGTTCCAGAGGGTTATCCGTGAGTTGCTGTCATGGTCGGATGTTCATCGCTGTTCACGCCCGGCGGTCTCATACGTAGTGATGCGTCTCCGCCTATTGACTCAGTCCCTGATCACCTGCCTGCTACGAGGTTCATCCAAGAGGGCGAAGATGGGCTTGCATTGGACGACAGGTGGCGGGAGCATTGGCATCCGCGACCGGTCTGGTCGAGTCTCCTTTTGAACCAGCCAACTGGGAGTAATTCCGCTGTTTTGTGTTTCACCTTATAACTTCTTGTACAGACGATAACGGAACTGCCTGATCTCAAGTATCCTCCTGGGACGGTAAGCACATTACTGGTATTCTGCGTCGGATTCACGAGCTAGTTACAGCCCTGGCATGCCTCGACGCACGCTGTCCAGCGATATGTGCGCGCGTACGCGTCACTGCATGCTCTGAACGTGAACGGCAATCCCGCCGTCACGGCATACTCGACGCGTGTCGAAAGTATCGAGAAAGACAACACGACCTGGGCTTTGACTCTGCGAAAGCTGGACTGGCACACTGATCCCGCATCCGGCACGAAACTCTTGCGAGAAGCGTACTGGACTGAGACCTTCGATGCCGTTGTCGCGGCGACCGGCGGGCAGGGCCGAGCCTACGTTCCTAGCATACCCGGGATCGGGGAGTGGGGACAGGTCACAGTCGACGGCCGGCACTGTGTCAAGCATGCCCAGCAGTTCCGTTTTCCCGTCGATTATGCAAACAAGATTGTATTGATCGTCGGTGCAATGCTGTCTGCAACGGAGATCGCGCGAGCTATCGCGCCCTACACAAGTCGGCTGTTCGTTAGCGTGAGGGTACGTGTGCGTCCGTTGAGCTCTTTCTGCGCATCGCTCAACTTGTCGCAGCACAATCCGTTCCGCGATTCACTTGACCTCGACCTGATCAAGTTCCCGAACAGCACTGAAATGGTAGCTGAGATCGCCTCGTTCCAGACCATACCTTCCGGTTCGAGAGGAATTAAGAATGGGAGAATCCATCTCATCGACGGAAGAGTCCTCGAAGGCATCGATGAGGTTCCTGCAGTCTCCGACCTCGTGCTATCTATCTCCTTAGTCATCTCCTCCAGATCATTCTGGCTACTGGCTATCGTCGCGATATGCTACTTCCGGATGTCAACCGCGACGGATGGGACGCAGTGTACTGGACGGGACATTACGTTCACGACCCTACGCTGGTCTACACGCGTTGTGAGCCAAGCAGTGTTTTCTATCACGTTTTGGCTGACTTTCCAGATTCTCCCTGGTTACACGGTCGATATCAAAGTCTGGCCATCGCGAAAGTCTGGACGGGCAGGGCTCGCATCCCCAGCTCCGAACAGATGATTCAAGACATCAGGGACAAGAAGTACTTCTATGGATTCACGTTGACTCCGCTCTTATACGCAGGTGAGCGAATCTTGTATGCATCAACGGATTGACGCTGACCGGATTCGTTAGCTCTGGTGCGACAGTACGTGTCTTGGCTCAACACCCAATCGCTCGAATTTGGGGGGCAATTTGTCGATCAGTACCCTCTTGAGTACGTCGAGACTCGCTGCTTACGAGGTACGAAACTCCTGACCAGATACATAGATCCCGCGAATCATATGCGTACTTCACGGACAAGTTTTGGAAAAAGGTCTGTCGTTTGGTGCAAATCGATGGTAGTCCACCAGCCCTGATGCTGAGTAGGACTGGATCTCTCATGCTGATTATGCAGGCTTTGATCAGCTGCCGGCCAGCGAGTGGCATGGTGCTCATGCGGCCAACGAGGAGTTGGGAAAACTGCTCAGGTGGTAGCGACTCCAAGACGTGTCAGGTCGAACTAGTAGGACCATTTCACATCTGTGCGCACAGATATTCGGGCGGACTTGTAATCGGACTAGATCATTCTCGTCATTTTCGAGTCTTTCGACAGCGGTAGAGTGGCAAGTAACCCCACTTCCCGGGGCAGAGTGTTGGAGTTAAGCAGGAGCACGGGAGTAAAATAAGGAGGTTCGCATTAGCAAGGAAGAAAAGGTGAAATGTTTTAGGGCAAACCAATGCCCTGCTACATAATTACAGATTGCTTATACACTGTATGTAAAGCTATCTAGAGTGTTCTGTAAGTGTCCATAGGTTTCCAGTATGTTAGGAACCAATATTTGATTTGCCTGAAGGCCGAAGCTGTCCAATCTAATCTAATCTTCAACACAGAGGGAGGGAAATTTTTCATGTCTTCAGAAGTCCTCGCACTTCGTGCATCCACACGGCATCTATATACACCCCTGGGGTCTTTCCATCGATAGACATGTATTTCCAACGAATTTGAACGTTTTCTCGCAAGGCATAGCAGATGATTCATTACAAGGCGGGGGAAACTACTTACGACGAAGATTGATTGCTTGCGAAGCACCGAATCTGATTGATACTACCAGGCTCCAGGGAGAGCATGTGGTTTTGCCTAGCCATAGCAAGTCAGCTTCCATGAGAGAGCTCTTAGACGGACTTCGTTTTGTCAGGCAGAGATGAGACAGTGTGTTGGGGAAAATGGGTCAAGGAGTCGATTAGATAATTGTAGTGTAGGTTTGCAATAGCAATGAGAATTGAACTTGAATTGCTTTAGGGCAAACTGATGCCCTTTAGACTACATACCGGCCTAGTTATATACTAGTAATGTAAGTAATCTCGAATATTCTACTATTTACCGGCATATGACTAAATGTGGTTATATAATGATCTGGAATATTCCGGGACAGCCGAGCTGCATCCCAGGAATTCTACTTAAATCCAACACAGTGTGTCCGCGATCTCGAGCCATGCCTGCGAGTCGAGAGAAAGCATAGTCCGGACGACCTACACGGCTGAAGCACGAGTCTGAACAGGAGAGCATTAGGAGGGAAACAGGTCTGAGGCACCGTCCGGCTGCTTCACGAAGAGCCAGGTTCAAGTCGATGGTAGAGATGTTACAGTCAGAAGCGTCTTGCTACAAAATGAAAATGCTCTGGTTGGCATGCCATTACCCCCAAGCCCAACGGTCTCAGAACAAAGTCATGCAACGTCGATTCGGACTGACATAATTGACCAGATACCTCCATGCAATATTCCAATTCATTGCTGATGCCATGTGTCGGGAAAACGAGTGCGGATGAGAGGATCGCATAGTTGCAACATACAACATTTGAACGAGGCCCAAGTCAATTTGATAACCTGCTGTCGGCGACCGTTCAACATGACCATTCTGTTCTGAGCAAGCGCAATCGAATGTAACGGATCCTGATACATTTTTTTCAAATTCAGACAGCACATGCACCTTTAACTGCGGAGGAGACCGTGTGCTCGATCAATGCTTGTTTTGCAACGAGGAACAAGATACTTGCAAAGAAGTACAAGTGGCTCGGAACTGGCCGAAAATGATACAATTGGTAAGCACATCAATTGATCACTGCATCAGAGCCGGCTCGTCTCAGATCTGTTCTCCTTCCACTCTTCTGTTGTATATCTGCAGACGAGCAATGTTCAAGTTCGACTTCGAAATAGACGACGAAGACAAAACCGCCGATTTTCTGCTGCCGAAAGAGGCCGAACTGGAGCCGAGTCCCTCGCAAATCGAGCAAGTCGAGCCGTTTGCAGAACACACTCTACCAGCGCTCGTCCGTCACCACCGTCTCCTACCTATGCAACAACCCACATCTCACAAACAAATCTCAGCTCGAGCGTCTTCCGCCGCTGATCTCGTACTCCCCTCTCACGATCTCTGACGCCGCGTCCAATGTAACGCTCGCTCGCCGGGATCTATTCGACGCGCGATTCCAGTTGATCTCGGGAGGGCGCGGTGACGTCGAATCCGAGTCGGCGGACTCGGCGCTGGAGTTCCTGGATGCGCCGTCCGACTTGGTGCCAGGGGTGTACGAGGGCGGGCTGAAGACGTGGGAGTGCAGCGTCGATCTCGCAGGCTATCTCGATACGTTGGGCAACGACAAGGGGTCTCGGTTCGCTGGGAAGCGGGTTCTGGAGGTGATTTTACGTGAGCTCGGGTGAGGTACTGTGCTGAGCTGGAGTCGATTGCAGATCGGATGCGGGACGGCTGTACCGTCAATTTTTATCCTCTCAAGATTATTCAACGGAGTGCAAGACGTCGAGACTGTGGTCGCTTTTCAAGATTATAACGCGTCGGTTCTGGAGTTGATAACTTTTCCAAACGTCGTTTTGGCATGGTGTACGGTCTTTTATCAGCCATCGACATCGAATATGTGCATTGATCTCCTGTTCAAACAGATATGTCCCCAGCATCGGAAGAATTCCGAAATTCGGCCACAGACTCAGAGCTCTCTGTCGCAGATCCGACAGTCGCTGGCGAGCTAAACATATCACCGGAACTCAAAACAGCGTTTCTTGACTCACTGAGGAGGCACAAAATATCGCTGTTGTTCTACTCCGGTCCCTGGCAGTCGCTTACCGCGCATCTGACGGAAAAATACGACGTCATTCTGACTTCTGAAACGATTTACCGATCAGAGTCGCTCGCACATTTGATCGCTCTGCTCCGTGCGGCATGTGCCGGTCCAGCATCTCAGCCGTTGTGCTTGGTCGCTGCAAAAGTCCTATATTTCGGCGTTGGTGGGGGTGTTTCCGAGTTCGTCGACGCTGTGCAGAAAGACCACAAGGGGCGAGTGGAAACCGTATGGGAAAAGAAAGCCGGGGTGGGCCGTTCCATCTTGGAAGTCACTTGGCCATAATAAGCCCACAACGAAAAGGCGTGTCTATGGTGTGTGTGTATGATTGCGGTTTATACATGTACAGATGATGATAGTAGATAGAAAAGCCAACTGCATCGAGTACCTTCACTCGAAATCAAAATCTGCATCCCAGTCGTCCAAGTTATCCTCCGGCTCGAAGAATCGCGAGGCGCGTTCCATGCGGTAAATGTTGACCGAAGGCATCGCAGACAACGGCGCAGAGAAACGGGGTTCGCGTGAACGTGAATCCGAGATCCGCTGCGCTCTGATCAGCTTCATGGGCGGGGAGGGCGTAATCATAACGCGAGGCTTGGGTGTGACGATACTTGATTGGATCTCAGTTAATAACTCTCGAAAAGTTCGGGAAAATGGGACAGACTTTTGAGTGAAGAACTCCCACTTCTTGCAACCTCTCTTCAGCGACGACTTCTTGGTTCTCGGACGCTGCAGAGGGGTAAGCGAAATTCCTAAAATCTCAATAGTCGTATACTCGCCTTGACGATGTCCCATTCTCCCTTTGGGATCCGCTCAGACGAGGTCGACGACGATTTCGACGGTCGACTGATGAAGGACTCGTCTGCGCCAGCCATGAAGGCTACGCGCAGCGCGTGGGCAGCAGCCCGGGTCGGAGTGTGGAGGATGCTTTGAACTGTCATTTTGGTGGAGGGGAAGATGGAATTAGCCAGCGCTTTTGCCCTTTCTTTATACTAGGCGCTCGTCCTGATTGTGAGGTCAATGGCTTTGATGGGTGGCGATCAGGCGCATGTATTGTTCGCGAAGTTGACAATATGAGGCGTGCTTGGCGGATTAATTTTTCACTTGGGAGAAGACAATGGTAAAACGCCCTTGAGACGGTTGAGGGTTCGCGACAATGCAGATCCTGGGTGATTCTGTAGATTCGTTCTGAGGAGAGGATAGTGAGCGTGCATTAAATGATGGCAGTAATCGTCCACTATAAATATCAAGACGATACATTCGCCTTCGATGTCGTGGAAATAAAGAGTTCAACTGACACGAAGGGTCTGAGGGCAGATCAATCGCGACATAAGATAATCTAATCTAATCAGATATCACTCGCTTCGAGCTCTCGATGCGCTTGTCTGGGCCTTTCAAGCTTACGGATGGACTGGACGATACAGCTGAGCAGGAGCGGAGCGTTTGATGTTCTCGGAACTCAGGTATGATTGTGGGGAAACTCGACGGACTTGTCTCTGCCGATCAACATGACCGAAGAGCAAATCAAGCCCCTTGCAATCGACCGGAGGCGATCACTTGGCGGCTACCGAGAAGAATATCCTCGGTAATGACCTGATTCAGTTGTGGGATACCTCAAGGAGCATTCCAAAATGGCTGGCCGCATCGACTCTGTTCTCGATAATTCCGGCTTTGAGCTGTACTGCGACTATGTATAGGATGAGTGAACCAGCGGCGTTTATTCATTGTGCTCACGTCATACAGCCGACTTCGTTCTGCAAGGCGGCCTTGCGTCCCAGATCCGTTTCCACGGTAATCGTTTCGCATGGTTGGTGTCGGATTGGCTTCTCAACATCGTGGTCTAAGGATTTAAATTGTTCCCGATGGCTCCCGATGTCGCGTTGGAATCTCTACGCCGCCTTGGTCAGCGGTGGAAGGTGTGTTGAGTTCCTGGATTCGTTTCTGTCCTTCTTACGGCCGTCTCAGCAATACGAGAAGGCAGGCAAGTGGGTGTATGGACAGCACCCAGGCTTCTGGTGCACAGGGTATGCGTTCTGGGAGTTGCATTCTGAAGCTCCCGACTTGTTCCTTCACCTGGTTCGATCGGATCGGGTCTGTTTCAACAGTGATCTGAACCACCGCAAGCTCGCATATGACTGCGCGGCACCGTCGAGCACTTCGTTCGATATGGCCATCGGCCCGATGGCAAGCTCTGCCGGAGGACAAAAAGTTGCCGGTCCGGACTAGTCCGGACTCCATCAAAAGTGATATCGTCGTCGGACTCCGACGGATACAAGGCCGCGGAGGACGTGGACAAGATGGAAGATCTGAGTCAGTGGCAAATACGTCAGTCTTCCTCAGCTTTCCTCGTGCTCATTGTACTTATCTCCGCCTCTAAGCTGTCGTTATTCTCTCTGAGGGTCGTCCGGGAAAGAAGGTTCGATTTGCGTAGACTACTTTACCAGTCTCTACTTATTTTACAACATTACATGTACGCACAACCCAATTCTAGGGAAGCCGCATTTCGCGATTGACAGTTAGAAATTGATGGGCTATCATCCCCACAGTAGTGCTTTCCTTCTTTACATACGCCTTCAGCATGTTGCTGCCGAGATCCAATACCCAATGCAGTTCTGCAACTGCTCAGAACACCATTCGATGACGACAACGGGCAAGATAGATCACCCAACACATGAAGGAACATGTGATGCGAGAAAACGCGTCCATGTCGACATTCGCCTCGGATGAGCTTCCGTATTCGACGCTGCATGGACCGTATGCACTTCGATTAAAAGCTCCTTGATGGCGCATTGTGAGCTGGTTGTATAAAAGGCAGAGTGGTATCGAGACTATCCTCACCGGCTCGACCAGTCCTTTCTACAGCATGCTTGCTCTGACTCTCCTGCCCGCGATTCTACTCGCTCTCCGTGTTTCCGCCGGCCCCGTTGTGGTCGACGAGAACATCGTCAGCCTGCCCATCGCCCGTCGCATCAACGCTACCACCGTTGTCGACATCAAGCAGGCCGACTACGCGCGGATTGCGAACTTCAAGGCCGGAAAGAGCAAGCGCGTCTCTGAGCCGGTGTCCAACCAGCTTGTCAGCTACATCGTACGCCCCCAGCTCCATTGCCTCGTGCGTCTCACCGACTCATCTTCAGGCCTCTGTCGGTGTGGGTAGCCCGGCTACTAGCTGTGCGTCGGACGCAGTTCCGTCGGGTGACAGTGCTCTGACATGTTTCTAGACGATCTCATCGTAGACACCGGCTCGTCCAACACCTGGGTTGGTGCTGGCAAGAACTACGTCAAGACCTCCACCTCTACCCGGACTGGACGCTCCGTCGTGAGTATATCTGTTTTAAAAGCAATCGCGGTCCCTGACGCGTTGATCACCAGTCTGTGTCGTATGGGTCTGGTAAGCGCCCTCGTGGCAGTTGCATTCCGGGCCGGCTCAAGTTCGTCCTCAGGCCAGTTCTCGGGCGAGGAGTACACCGATCGCGTCACTTTGGCGCGTGGTCTCGTCATCAACAAGCAGTCGATCGGTGGCGCCACCAGTGCCAGCGGCTTCAACAACGTCGACGGTATTCTCGGGTATGTATCTGTGTGTGCTGTGGGTCCGTGTGGATGCTCACGCCTTGGTAGCATCGGTCCTGTCGACCTCACTCAGGGGTACGCGCCTTTCGTGACAAGACAAACGTGGACAACTGACTGAACTTGCCCCAGAACCCTCGGCAACAGCAACAGCGAGATCCCCACCGTCGTCGACAACCTGTTCAGCGCCGGAACCATCTCCTCTGATGTGATTGGTATCTCGTTCGAGCCCACGACCTCGTCTGTGGACAACAACGGTGCCATCTCTTTCGGAGGCCCTGACTCCAGCAAGTACACTGGCTCGATTTCGTACACGCCTGTCACGAGTGTCTCTCCTGCCGGTGAATACTGGGGCATCGAACAGTCCATCACCTGTGCGCATCAGCGTCCTCATCTCTTGAACCTGCCCCCTGACCTCGTTGCGTCGCAGATGGCACGACATCTCTCATGTCCCGTACTGCCGGCATTGTCGACACCGGAACGACCCTGATCTACTTGCCCACTTGTGAGGAAACAAAATCCGTTGTCCCAGGATCATGTTGCTGACGCGTTCGCCAGCTGCTTACAACAAGTACCAGCGGGCCACCGGTGCTGTTGCCGACAACGCTACTGGATTGCTCCGCATCACCTCTGCTCAGTACTCTTCGCTCAAGAACCTGAACTTCCTAATCGGCGGTGTGCGTGCTCCACTGCCAGATTCCAACCGCCTGACACTGAAGGCTCACGTTTCTTCAGACTACCCACTCCCTGACCCCCAACGGTCAGATCTGGCCCCGTTCCCTTAACAGCGCCATTGGCGGAACTTCCGGCAGAATCTACCTCGTGGTCGGTGACAACGGCCCCTCCGGTAATCCATTTCGCGACTGGCCCCAGCTCTGAGTGCTGACCCATATCTGATTAGGCTCCGGCCTGGACTTCATCAACGGTTACGCTTTCCTCGAACGTTTCTACTCGGTCTTCGACACTGGTAACAACCGGGTTGGATTTGCTTCCACCTCGTTCACCTCTGCCACCACCAACTGAAAAGATGAGTCTGCTCGGCAAGTCTCAGAGCATCGGGAGCTTGTAGACTACATCCTTTGTATCCGAAAAGGTGTCAATTGTTGCATCAATCAAGTTTTGTTGACCACCGATGCGCTTTCCGCACAAGAATCGTCTATCTTGATGGTACCATCTAGCCCCCTAACCCCACTTTCACCTCATCGGGCGCTGGTGCCCCTGCCCACCTCACCGGATCCCTCTATCGTTGTTGGACAACTGGTTGTAGAAAATACATGGAATGCATGCAAGCTTGACAAGTACCTCGGTTCTGAAGATTTTTTGGAGGCCTGCATAAATGCAAAGTTCCTTTCCTGGTGCAACTTTGCCTCCCAGGGAGCAATGAACGACCTGCAGATCTAAGTAATTCCTATTAGTGTCGTGATAATTCGATACTGACTGCTACTATCAAGAGGAGAGACATGTGAACCACCTGGCCCACCAGCGCTGCTCCGGATTCACATTCATGCGCGGGGAGGGGGTCCGACATGGAGATATCAAGGGCGTGGTGCGTGTCTTTCCTATCCTTGTGAATGCCTCCCTCTTCAGCTCACCTTGCTCAGAATGTCATGGTGACGCTGAACGGATGGAGACAGCCCGTAGTCAAGATCATCGATCTGGGCCTCGCACAGTCCAAATCCAAGGACTCCATTCCTGTCGTCAGTCCCCTCCGCCGACCTTACATCCCCGCACTCACTTTTACTTTCAATCTAGGGTACGACGAAAGACCGGCACTCTGCGCCGGAGGCATGGGATCAATTGAAGCTATACAATTCGGCGGTGCTGTTCGACGTGACTCTGCTCTGGGACAGCTGGGCGTTGGGGCATCTGATCTTCACGATGCTGACTGGGGCCTTCCCATTCCCATCATCCCACACGTTCGATTGTCGCCGGGATGAGATTAACTGGAATCTATTGGAAACGATCGTGCAGCAGCCGCAAGGCGTGTCACGTTTCTGTTCAATTACTGTTCAACCAGTTCTGACTTCCATCTAAGCTGTTTCATTCGTCAGGGTCTTCCTCTGCGTTGATTTCGAACAACGACTGAGGATATCGGACACATTATCACATCCATGGTTGAAAGCATTCAACGCGCGCAAGCGGCCGTTTAAGAAAGCCGATCTGCCCATTGCTTTGGCCGCAAAATTCTGCATGACAGTCAAGTTATCGATAATCATCTCGTCACACCACGCTCCTTAACTTAGACTTGTATAACGTCAAAAATCTTGTAAAAACCCTGTGCTCGCATTGATCATCCAAGGATTCGAAAGATGATCATGCGCTCATTTGTCTCGTGGTCATGATCCACCTAAGGACTCCTCCATTCGTCGGAAGAAATCTCTTCCAGACTCTTTCACCACTTTTCCGAATCGTAGTAGGAAAATGGAGCAAGGTTGAACTCCATTCCTTGCAAATACCGAAAAAGTGCTTGTGATCGTCAACAATTATGCTGTCGGTGCTTTTTTGTGCTTTGGCCAATAGAGAACCGAGGAAAAAAGCACGCTTCAAGTTACAACGGGATTACAGCGGCATACACGGATGTCGTCATTGAACGGAACGGTAGAGTTAGGACAACAGGTAAGCGACAGCGACGCGTAGCAAGATGGTAGCAAGAAGAAGAGATCAACTACACCGCACGTTTCACACTGAAAATGTTGGGAGTAAAAGTACCGTTGGGGTCAGCGGCCTTCCTCGCTTTCATCAAGCGCTCGTATTTGGCCCGGTCTTCGTGATAGACGTTCCAGACCGAATCCAGATCGAAGCTGCCCCAAGATCCCCACAAGAAGCGCCGGTCCTTGTCGCTGAAGATCCCATCCGGACCCAGCACCTGCTTGTCGTTCTCTTTCTGCCATTTCTCGGCGTCGGCCTTCTTGCTCGGATGGTGGAAGTCGTCGATCACCATGATCATGGTCGTGTCGCGCCACTGTCGGGCATTAGCAGCTGAGCGAGTGCAACAACGGTTACTGCTTACGCTGTAGGAAGTGCCATTGTCGCCATTGAGTCTGAAACGAGAATGCTTGCCACCCATCGCCTGTAGTTGGACCGCCAGCCACTGCCCGGTTTCCCTCGTCGGCGAGCCCAGGATCGTGTCCAACCGCTTGGAGAGCCAATCGGCCCAGCCGTTGGTGCTGAGGTTCGTCGCTGCGCTCGAGTAAATGCGCTTGACGTACGGCTGCTGGAACTCGCGCTCCTTCTCGAAGATCCACTCCGGAGTCAGCTTCGACATCGCTTTGACCTCCAGTCCGCTGTGCAACACGGCGCCCTCCATCAGCTTCTCGAACCAGGCTTTGTCTGGCTTTTCGTCCTTGCCGAAAGACACCCACTGCGCGTAGGTGATGATCATCGGCCCGATGCAGAGCGAAGTGCCCGGCTGGGTGAGCTGCGCAATCTTCACTTGGTCTTCCACGCCGTTCGAGTAAGCCATGAGGTCCGCATCGCAGCTGAGGACACTGACACACAAATCGTAGTTGCGGGGCATATCGTCGTTGTCGCCGGTCTCCGCGAGCAGCTGGACGATGCGCCTGAGCGTCTCGGGGGTGTAGAAATGCATGATCCGGACGCCCATCGAGCCAGCGTAGTCCGCATCGCGGTAGACCCGGAGCGTGAGATGGGTCAGGACCCCGAAATTGCCTGGGCTGCCGCCAAGCCAAGCGTAGAACAGCTCCGCGTCGCTCTTCTGCGTGATGACGCGCTCCTGCCCCTCGTGGTCGATGAACTCAAACTCGACGATTTGGTCGCCGAATAGCCCAAAGCTGCGCCCGAGCTGCCCGTAGCCACCCGTCTGCGCGTGGCCGCCGACGTAGACGCCAGTGCACTGCCCGTGCGGGACGAATAGCTCGCGCTCCCCCAGGAACCTGTTGACGCTGCCCAGCGGCCAGCTAACGCTCATGCGCACAAACGTCTTCCCGTCCTGCTCGAAGGGGCGGAAGTCGTCGGTGCTCTTGAACGTGTCGCGCAGGTCGAGCTGGATGTTGCCCCGACCCGTGGACGACGCGCCGCTGTACTGGTGCCCGCCGCTGCGGATCGCAACCGCCATGCCGTGCGCGTTGGCGTACGCGATCGTCAACTTGATGTCGTCTTTGTCTTCTGGCAGCACGATGAGTCCCGGGTTCACACGGTCGGAGTCGTCTTGATAGCTCGAAGACGCATATTGGTCGACCCAGCTGCCGTGTTCGTTGCTGCCGATTTCGTGCTGGGCGCCCTTCACGCCTTCGATGGGACCCGGGGAGGTCTGAATCCGGCGGACTTGAACACGAGAAAAGGGAGAGTAGCTACAATGGTACTCACCTGAGTTTGGGCCGCACCAAACAGCGCGCCTTTGACGTTGTCAACGATTCCCATGTTGTTCTGGAGCCGGTCATTATCAGAGCAGAATGTCGAAAGATGCGTGCTATTCACCTACCAGCGATTGAGTGGCACGTAGAAGTATTCGAAGGCGTGGTCCGAGGTAAGACTGACAGAGAGGGACGGGGACGAGCAGAACTTATACTGGACCAGGATAGCATGACCGGAAGAACGCGCGCAGTGACTGTTGACAGGTCGATGCTGGACGAAATCGTCGGTGAGATTCATGATGAAACGTCGCAATCCCAATCGTACGAGACCGAGACCCTCATGGTGGAAGGATTGGGCCCAACTGAATGGACGAAGGACCTGACCCGCCTTCGAGGATAAGAAGCTGTCTGGCAGACCGTTCGGTCCTTGTGGCAAATGAACGCCGGAGAAGACGTAGAGTTGGGGTTCTGAGTTCCCTGTCATATTTGCATTCAGTCGTCCTTCTGCGTTTGAGCAGGTCTCTCTTCTCTTCAGGACGGGCGTACACCACTGCAAGACAGAAGACCCAGAGTTCATGAAGTGATATGAACATCGGTGACCGGTATTGCAGACAAGGTTGGTTCTGGCACTGGGGAACTTCGACGATCTGTACTTGGTGAGAGGACCACGGTCGTACCCTTGTAGCCCGAGCTAGCCGGAGTCGTTGTGGGCAGGAGATGGCCGCTCACGTGCGGTGACCGCTCGGTAGAAGACCGTACAGACTCAGAGTGATGACTGCCCGCAACTTTGATGGGCATGAAAGAGGCATGCAAGACAGCACAACAAGATGCATCGCAAAGCGCACTGAGTAAAGACCGCAGCTTCTCGTGGGTATCAACATCATAAGATTATGCACTGCATCTATGTACCAAAGGAAGAATTGACGATCCAGCGGCACGCCGAGTCTTGCTCGCGAGAAAGTACTGTGCACAGGAGCCGATCTCACAGAGACGACTGCGGGATCTACTGCACATTTTGCCTGCAGCGCGGATCAAAAGAGGCTCGGAGTAGCACGCGGGGAGGATGCGCTTACGCAAATTGGCCGATGATGTTTCCTTGCGGGAAGTACTCGCAGACATAGAATTTCGAAGCCTGCAAAATTCAAGTGAGTTGGGGTGTCGGAGCAGGCTATGGGCGGAGAACGCACGCCGAACTTGCTGAAATCAAAGATGTTGTCACACGTAGCGACCGCACAGCCTGAGTACGGATGAGAATCAATCATGAGAAGAGAACAACGCGACACACCGAGCTCGACAGAGTTCTTCCAGACCATCTGAGTCCAATGAGACGGCTGGGGGTTGCTCGAAGAGTATTGGGCTACGGAGCGGGCTCATGTCAGTCTAATTTACGAAAGCGGAGACGCCGATGACGCACGCTGCTCGTCAATCCAGCCCTGCATTCCAGCGGGTATATCGAAGGAGCCAGTCCCGGCCGACAAGTTCTCTATCAAAAGAGATGGATCATTATCAGCTACACATACGCCGTGGACGAGAAACGCAGAGCAGCCACGCACCACCGAACGGTCCCAGGGATCCACCAGAGTGTTGGAACACGCAGTTGTTGGCCCATTTCTGCGCTGCCGCCTCGAGGGTGTTGTTCCACGTCATGGTCCCGGCGCCGAACTTGGCACGCTCGGTGTTGTGGATGTCGAGGTATTGCTGGATGTCGGCAGCTGAGACGGACCCACCAGCCGCAGCAGGCGCTGGCGAGGAGCCGGAAGAAGAGGACGAGGAACCAGACGAAGAGCCGGACGAGGGCTTGGAGGCGGTTGTGGGCTGGGCCGCGGCCGCAAAGGCGTTACCCTTCGTGCTCGTTGTCGGTTTCGGGGTACTAGTGGTCGGCTGCGCAGTCGTCTTGGGAGTGCTTGTCGTGCGGATAGTCGTCAGAGTCGCCCGGGTGCTCGTCGAGGTCGTGCTCGGGGTAGGCGTCGCCGTCGACGTTGTCGAGGAAGTGGTGCTGCGACGCGTGAGCGACGGACGAGTGAGAGGAAAGAACACAAACGCACCTGAGGACCAAGGACGAAGACACCACTGACTTGGGCCGGCGAGGATTGCACGTCGGGCTGGCAGCGTTCACGGAGGCCGACACCGAAATGAAAAGGATTGCGACAGCGAGCGAACGGAAAGACAGCATGTTGTCAATGAAAGAACGTGTTATGCGGGAAGCGTCGTGGGTGGTGCTCTCGAAAACAGATCGCAGGAAACAAGCTGGGTGGTATAAAAGAGAAAGAGAGCTGTTTGGACGCGCCCGTCGTTGCCGGTTGGATATCAGCGTTGGTTAGTTACCGCTACAGCGCCCGAAATAGCTCGACGCATGGTCTTTCAATTTTCACGCGTGGCTGTTTCCGTAATTGACTTTGAGAGAGAATGGGGCTCAGCGCTCGGTACTAGGCGCTGGATCATGGGGGCGCTTGAAGATCTCGAGAATGCCAAGGGATCGCGGTCGTCGGCCGCTACCACAGCGTTCTCGTTGCGCTGATTGGGAATCATAAACGTGGCGTGCCCACATCAATGGATCAGGGCACTACCGAATCACGAGGGCCTGCCCACGTTTCTGACAGGAGAACACGGCCACGTGACTGATGCGACATCAGGTCATCCTCTCGACCTTAGTTGCGTGCAATTCGTTGACGGTGAAATTGAGACTGACCCGGTGCGTTTGGAAACGGACTCTCAAAAGGTTGATATGTGACCATTGCGATCAATGTTGCGTCTAACATGCGGGACGCAGGATGCAATACAGTCAAGGACCTCTCGTGGGCATCATATCCTATTCACGGTCATCCGCTTGTTCACGAATGCCGAGAATAGAAACAGGAGGCATTTCTGGACCCCAAAAAATGGATATCCCCTGTCATCTTCATCTAGTAGCCGAAACATAGTACTATATATGTATTTACATAAGATGAGACATTCCGACGCGTACGGGGCGGGTAGATGTGTACTCCTAGAATGTCGAGGCACAAATGCATTTAGCCAGCCGATTGACCCACACTGCCTCCGTACAACGCCCCCCCTCCCCCCATCTTCATCTATGGCATCCGCAGTCGAGCTCCCATATGAGCTCAAGCAAGATATTTTCGAGCTCACCGCCTACGCCCATCCAGACGTCGCCCCGAGGCTAGCTCTCGTGTCTCATCAGGTCCAGCAATGGTGTGTTGCTTTCTCTCGAGGAAAAATCCATCTTCTCACTGTGTGAGAGGGTCGAGGCTGTCATATACGAGACCATAGTCCTGGGCCCCAAGTCAAGAAAACAAGACCTGTTCTGGAGGACGTTCTCCTCCAGACCACCCGAATTCTTTGCCAAAAGAATTAGATCCTTGCATGCCTCCACGGGGGCCCCACCTGCGCAGGTGTTTTCCCTGTTCTCGGTGTGCCAAAACCTCGCTACCTTCACGTGGTGGGACAGGCAAGCCAAGTTCGACACGCATCTCGCCCTCATCGCATCTTCGTCCAACTTGCGCCGGCTCTCGGTCGATGCGTTGACCGTCGTCGGCTCCACTGTCCTGAATTTCAGACACCCCCTCTTCAAGCACCTCACACATCTCGAAATTGTCAATCCACCAATCGGGTACGATTGGACATCGCTCCTGGAAGAAGGAGCCCTTCCGGATTTGACACATCTGGCGTTCGGTGACTTGTATGCCGCGCACGCTTACCAAGAGCCTAGTATCGTTCCATTTCTCGAAGCAGCACTGGCGTCCGAGGAGCCGATGCTCAAGGTTCTCATCCTAGTTTCGCGCGACGAAGAGTTGCAGGCAGCGTTGGAGGAGGACGGAATCACAGACGACAAGCGCGTGGTCTGCCTTCCGTCGTATCATCATCCCCTGAATCCGGCCGAATACTGGGAGGGAGTGGCACGTCGGGAGGTGCAGTTCTGGGAGACAGACAGAGTCAGACGGTAGCCATAGGATCTTAGAGCTCGTTCTCGATAATAAATGGCCTGGTCAAGACCGGATCGCATGAGAGCGGATTACCGGGAGGGAGAGAGAGCCGCTGGATTATATAAGTCATCATCAATTCAAAGGAACAATCATCTCATCAACAAGGACGTGCAAAACGCCCATGACCGCCGAGTCAATCTGCGCGCGCAACCGAAATGCCAACGGTCATCGCAAGTCATCCCTTCCCTGACTCGACGAGAAGACCAGAGCGTGACGAAATCATCATCTACGAGTTATCTCGTTGAGATCAAGACCATTGATCCTACCAATCTGACTTATCGCAATGCTTTCATTCACCCTCGTGCCTCGGCTGGCATCTCAATACAAAAGGCACATAGGTCGAACACGAAAGCCATCCTCATCCGAACATCCCCATGGCCTCCGCGACATTCACAACCACGCTCCTCCCGCGGTTCCGCGCGCTCGTCGAAGAGTGGACCGCGAAACACCCCTCCTCAGCGGGATTCACCGTCCCGCTGTCGGACCTCCGATCAACGACGTCAGCCACGGCGAACAAAGACGTGGTAGTCGCGTTCCGGACGCGTCCCCCGCTGCCGAACGAGGCCGCGGAGCAGTTCCAGGCTGCGGCCGAGGGACACAGCTACGAAGCCAACAGCGAGGAACGCCAGCGGCGCGCTGGGGGCGAGGAGGCGAAGACGCAGCTGGAGCCGGTGGAGTTCTGTGCGGGGATTACGGTGACGAGTGCCGAGCCGGGTGTATTCACCGCCCATGTGCCCGGGATGAAGGTGTGTGTGCGCGCGCGCTGTGGAACGGCGCGGTTTTCGTTTCGCACGCACGTTACTGAGCCTCGTGCAGTGGAACGGGCCGACTCTCGCTCACAAATCGTACGAGGCCGATCTCGCGTTCGGACCGGATGTACAGAATGAAGAGGTTTACAAGCGCACGGTGGTGGCGAATGACTTGCTGACGCTAGTGCTTTCCGGCGGGGTGGGCTGCATCCTGGCTTACGGCCAGACGGGCACCGGGAAGACCTACACGATAGAGAGCGTCGAGCGGAGCATCGCACGGGACCTTTTTGACCAGGCGCGTATCGTCGGTCAACGGTTCGTTGCTGCACAGGGCGGAGAACATCCCACGGGCGACATCTTCGAGTTTCAGGTTTCGTTCTTGGAGTTGCTCGGAAACCATGCTGGCGATCTGCTGGAGGAGACAGAAGAGGTCGATGTACAGGGAAACAGGGTCCTCTCTGAAGTGGCCGTTCGTGAGGATAAGGTTTGTGCGATCATTGATTTTGTTCGCCAGTACTGAATTCGGGATCTGTCCAGGTTGGCAATGTGCGACCGAATGTTACTTATTCGTCTGTGCGTTCTTCGGAAGAGCTTGAAAGCCTCATCAATAAGGCTTTGTCACATCGACGGTCAAGCGCTACTCAACGAAATGCTAAGAGCAGCCGTAGTCACGCTCTGCTCAGCATCTCGATAAAAAATACGCTCTTGCCGTATGCAGATGAGGGCCAGCTGATCCTGGTGGAGTGATTCTTCCGCAAAACAGCAGACGTTCGCCTTCTGACTACTTCTCGCAGCCTGGCAGGTAGCGAGCGCTACGAGGATTCGAAAGATCACGACAAGCAACGCCGCGATGAAGCGAAAGAGAACAACAAGAGTCTGATGAACCTCAAGGAATGCGTCCGGGCGAAGGCGAAGATGGCGGCAGAAGATGGCTTTGTGCACATACCCTGGCGCTCAAACAAGCTGACCATGCTATTGAAGGTTCGGGTGCTCGTTCGGTACTAGAAGAACTCGCAACTCACCACCCTACAGCCCATATTCGACATCGAGAGTCGTCAGCTCTCCAAAGCGGTCATCATTGCCCATGTCTCTCCGCACATCCAAGACACCACTCATTCGTATGCCTTCGATGATGCTCAAAACAACGACTGAATCTGTCAGCAGAACCAACACCCTCTCGTATGCTGCGCCTTTCAAGACAGTGCCGCCCAAACCTCGTGGTGCTCCCCGCTTCGACAAGGAGGACCCCCGGACCTGGGACCACCAGCAGACGATCGATTGGCTCGCAGAGCAATTCGACCAGGGGACCGTCGACCCGCTTAAGATCTGCCCCGTCGGTTCGACCGCGAAGAACCTCGGGATGTTGTACACACCCGAATTCGTCGAGCGCTGTCTTGCAGCGCGCCACGCCGAATCGTGCAGCGCGGAGGACCTCAAGATGAAGGCAGTCCATGTGATCGGCAACTTGTTCTACTTGATCTTGACCGCAAAGACGAGGAAGCGGAATGAGGTGATGAAGAGTCGTAGGAGGCTAGTCATGGAAGACACATACGGTGCGTGGCTTCGCTTGTTTTCTAGTGCCTCTAGCTGATTGGACGACTGCAGGCGTCGCACCTCGCAAGGATCACGACGAAGACTACAACTCGGAAGAGTTCCTCGAAGCCCAGATCTACTATGGCATGTCGCATGCTTTGATTCGATTCGTTTCCATTGAACTCCTAGCGCAGGCACTGGTTGGCAAGACACTGTTATTGCTGCCTATGAAAAATCGAAGGCGGAGGGGACAGACTGGCATAATGTGGTCCACCCTAACACAGTCAAGGACCTGATAGACAGATTCCGCGAACATCAAGCTGCGACTGAAGCACAGTCAACGGTGTAGTTGTATATGGTGACGGGATTGTAGGCTGTTCTGGGTGTCTTCGATGGAATGTACATGTAATTTGGTGGCATGGTGCCTTGCAAGACTCGGTTGCGTATGGGGAGATATCCGAATTACATGCAGAGCCATGTCCTCTGTTTTGGAGCCCAGACACTCGACATGGGATAACGACAATGGATGCGTTCCCTCTTTCCATCATCCGAGGTACCGACCATGTGTTCAGGGCCAACGCCGTTCTCGACCCAGTCGACCAAGGCCAGAAGCAGGTTGTGGGAGCTTGCATTGACGGCACTAGGCAAAGCTTCGCCTGACTGCCCGAAGTTGGGAGACCCAAGACCTCCTGTGCAATGACCGAGCCCAGGCACGAGAAACAGACGGTAGAATGGATCCAGTGTGGACATATCTAACGTTTGCGACACAAGGTCGTACATGCGCTTAGAGTTTCCAGAGGTAATGAGCTGCAGTGTATGAGTGGACAGAGCGACTGTATAGGAATGGCGCGGTACGCACACCATCCATCCGGCCGTGGAATGTGAGAAATTTCCCACCCCGATCGCGAAACGCGGTCAAGTTGCCAGAAAACGTAGCGACGCCCCCAGGATTCACCGCATCCATGAGCCTGCCATGCTCTGGTCCGTAGGTGCCAAAATCGAATGCTGTATCATTGATCACAGCAAATCGAAACCAATCTCGAAGAGAACGAGGAACGGTCCCGCTGAGGACTATCCGTGCGTAGCGCATCTCCACCCCAGGGTCGACTCTCGGATAGATAAGCGTGCCGTTGTCGTAGAGCGGACTGTAGATCTTGTGTAGCACCTCGACTTGCTCGGGAGAGAGACAGGTTACATCTTCGGCTCGTGTGGAGCAAGCGAGTACATCCGGACGGAAGAGGCATGCATCGGGCTCGGTGATGATCCCGTCACGAATACCGTCTAGCATGTCGCACTGATGCAAGATCTCTTCAGCGACAAGTTTCCAATCCCGGGCGGACAGGAACGTAGGGGTCCCTGGGGCACCGATGTATCGACTAAGCATGCCAGACCAGTGGAGGAGATGATTGAAGTCAGTGGCGGGTGCACCGGCCAGGATTCCATCAAAGTCCTCTGGGTACATGAGGGCTTCCTGCGTTCCCTGTCGGCCGCCCGTCGAACATCCTAGGTAGAAGGCTTTGCGGTGCGGCTGGCCGTAGTATGCCTCGGTGATCTGCTTCCCGACCACAGCCTCCACGTGGATGGAGCGGTGAGCAAAGTCTTCGACGACCTCAGGGTTTAGGAAGAACGCCTCGCCGCTGTTGCCATCGTGCCCGTTGTTTGAGCCGACGGCGGCGAAGTGGAGCGCAGAGCCATATGCGAGATCTGCGTAGTTGATACCTGCGCTCGAGGCCTTTGGTGAGTATTCAGGAAGATACGGGCGAAGGAAGTGTATACATCCACCCAGCGCACCATTCCCGACGCCCAGAAAGCGGCCATGCCATTCGTCAGGAAGCCATGCCTCGGCGCGGATCGACGATCCTTCGCTTGTTTGGGTAACGAATTGGACGCGACAGAGGGGTGTTGCTGTGCGCCCGGAGGAGTACGGACAGCTTTCGTGCGCCGGGATGGTACTTCCTGCTGGGAGGAAAGAAGCCTCCACGACGGTAGTGTTCTCTACTCGAAGAGTGTCTTTCAGGGCAGCACATCTGAGATTTTGGGTGCTCGACAGCCAGCTTGCAGCAAGCGCATTATTGGCGAGGAAACGCGTGAGGGATAGCACGGCAAGGCCAAGGTCCATCATGATGATAATGTCGGTGATGGTATCATGATTACAGTGACAGGATTGATCGATCCTCTTTCCTTGAGTCGGTTTTATGTGCCCGCCTTTTGTTGGAAATGCAGCGCTGAATCTGTTCCATCCAGACAAGTGACCGGGGAAGTCTCAGATGCCATGCTCTCAGGAATCCAGACTCTCTAAAGCCAATGTCGCAGAATCAATGCTTCGCGGAATTGATAAAAGTCCATCTCCCGGATTCAGGCCGAAGCGGCGGGCGAGGCAGAGCTTGTAGTGCTGCAAATGCCGGTGACAGATGGAAGCCGAGGGGCGAACGCGTTAGATACGAAAATAACAACTCCTGAACTTGGAGCAACATGCCCGAGCACTTGGAGTCCCTATTCATTGCCGTCTCTGCTAGCATTTCTAGAAGGCGGGCCAGCTTTCGCGCTACACCGTTTGAAGGTCGTCTCGCGTTACGGGTTGGCCCCAGGCTTCACTACCGGTGCTTTTGATGATGCCTCGTCTCTTCCGTCTCTACACAAGCTTGGCTCTTCCACACTGGCCATCAATCATCATCTCGGCCTGTCTCGAGGATGTTTCACTGCAGCATGGGATCTATCCCGCAGCCCTACGAGCACGGGACAGGAGCAGGGCCACTGAAGAACAAAAAAAGTCGAAAAGGGACGCGTATATGCTGCGATGGTTTAATCGGGAACTCAATGAGACGATATCATCGAGAATGCACTCAAATCTGAGCCGAGCTGATTGGCCTGACTCGCCCAGATCATTTCATTGGAAGATTCAGGTCCTAGACCGTCGAGCAGCTAGCAGGCTGTGCTCGTTAGTCAGGCCTATATAACGCTCAATGTGAGGAGAGCCCTCGGGGGTCACCAATGCATCGTGACCGAGACATGTCACACGACACTTCTCTGCCTCCCACCACCAGCACTCAAGCGCCCTATCCACCACTCTCGTTAACGACCATCATGCACGCTACTGCCCTCATGTTCATCTCCCTCCTCGGTCTCGCTCAGGCGCATCCCGTCCGAAGAGCCTTGACTGGTACGTCTCGATTCGATCTCGTATACGCCGCACCGTCGCTCATCCCGTCCCACAGACCCGCAAGTCCTCAACTTTGCCCTGACGCTAGGCGAGTTTGATTTCTCATCATGTCTACTCTCCGACTAACATCCGGCGCTAGAACACCTCGAGTCCGCCTTCTACGATCAAGTCCTCTCTCGTTTCTCGCCCGCCGACTTCTCTTCTGCTGGATTTCCAGACTGGGCACGTGGGCGATTCAAGCAGATTCAAGCGCACGAGGCCTCTCATGTCACCTTCCTCACCACTGCTCTGACGGCTGCTGGTGCTAAAGCAGTCGATAGCTGCCAGTACAACTTGTCAGTGGCGATTTGTTCGTATGCTGTCTCTAGACACTTCCTTCAACGTTTTGCACAGCGGTATCACCGATGTTTCTTCTGCGGTGGCTGTAAGCGCTAGTCTTGAGGCGGTGGGATCTGCTGCGTACACTGGCGCAGCTCAGTACATCAACGATAAGGCAAGCGTCCAAACTGCTCGGGACGCTACAGACTTGACCATCTGTCCACAGAACTATCTCACCGCCGCCGCGAGCATCCTTGGAACCGAGACGCGACACGCCGGTAGGTCCAGTCTATGATATCAGTCCTGATCACGCATGTGTATATACAGGTTGGATTGCTTCGGCGGTGCTACATGGCAGTGCCTGGGACACAGCTTATCAAACCGCCTTGTCGCCTAGTCAAGTATACCACATCGCGTCAACGTTCATCAAGTCGTGTCCCTCCTCAAACTCTGCCCTCCTCCCCTCGCTCGCTTCCTTCTCACCGCTCACTGTGACGAATGCTCAACCAGGCAAAACTGCGACCGTCAAGTTCTCTGCGCCGAAAGACTCGCCATCTCAACTGTTCGTCGCGTTCATATCTGGTGTCGGTGCTCCGCTGTTCGTTCCCGTGCGCGACGGCAAGGTCCAAGTCCCGAGTGCTTTGGCTCGGACTGGAACTGTGTTTTGTGTCATCACCAAGGATGGTGGGCGAGCTGACGACGATACGATTATTGCTGGGCCTGCTGTCGTGCAGTTCCCCTTCGGATCATCGTAGATACAGTGTACCCGGTTGCGCGTTGTGTACGATTGCGATGAAGATGATCAGCAAGGATAACATGCATGATTGGCCACCTCGAGGATTGCTCGCTTGTAAGGACATCAGTGAAATACTGAAAGAAAATTGACAGGATGCAAGGAAACTAGCATATAGACATGTAAATTGGAGACTATGGACTACAATCTCACGCAGAAGGGGAGAATGCTTTTGAGTAGATGCCAGCTTGAGAAACATCCATATGCACCGGAAAATGATGTAGATAAACGTAATCGACAACCCTGTGATCGGTTACGCAACACGCTTATTCCTCGGCTCTTTCGGTGATGAGATGACATCTTCGACATCCTCTTGTTTCGTCTTACTTATTCCTCGGCCTTTTCGGTGATGGGATGACATCTTTTTCGACATCCTCTTGTTTCGTCTTACATATTACCCGAACAGTAGAGAGGACGGTATGTCCTGAACACGAGGGGCGGGTTTCCATCTGGAGTGCTTCCTCCCGGTTTGATCCTCGCCAGCGCTCTCCTTGACGCGGCGCCTTTTTGGAGGTCGTGACCGTAAAGCAATATTCGAAGCTGGTCCACACTCAGTAAAGCTGGTGCAGGTAATGCTCTGCGAGCTTGTCGCTGCAAAAGACAAGCATCCCTGCACGAGAAGGGATTGAGAGTGATGTCCGTGTCATGGGCTACATGGTTGCGTTATAGTCCAATAATTCAGGCTTCAGTCTGATGGTCTCCCCGGATGGTCGCCGACAGACATCATCAATCCGGATTATTGACTTGGCCCTCACCGAAAGAGACTCTGTGTTCTCCAACCGTCACAAGCCAAGTTGATGCAAGCCCCTGCGAATCGAGGCATGATAATCTCTGGAGGAAATCGCCGTCCTGATGTCGTGGTAGTGAACGCGCGAGCACCCAACGCCGGAGATACTTAGTATGGGTGCAGGTAAGATTCCTTCCTCTTGTGCAACGCCCAACCTATTATTACTCATCGATATTTTCGATCTCGGATGGATGGTGCGAAGTAGAAAAATAAAAACGAATAATCTTTACCACTGAAATTTTTGAAGATCCACAGACATCGATTCTGGTGGTCCAGGCTGAGACTTTAAAAGCTGCGATGGCTGAGTTGGCAGCGACCTCGTCAGGATATGCAGGCTGTGGGGTGATGCCATCAGTATGCACTCAACCAAGCAGATCGCGGAAGAGTGTGTGTGCTATGCGAACCGAAACTCTCAACACTCTGGGCGTTTTTGGGCTTCTCAATCCCCTAAAACGACAATTGATTGTGCTCGGATGGCGCACTCTGACTGTGACTGTGAAAGCACATTCCATTCTGTCCCACGATAAGGAGGCGAGTACGCGAACAGAACGATCTAGGGAGTGACCGCAATGTGTTTCCTTCCGTCATTTCACGGTCGAGCGTTTCGAGAAGATCGGTTGTCTATGCGCCGCACGATTGCATCAGACATGACGGGATTTACGGGATGCATATGCCGATCAGCAACTCCATGCTCCCGCTCGTGTGCTTGAGAGTGGTAACATTTTGAATCTATCCTCGTAAATTTCATAGGATGATGCAAGTTGACATGGGTTAACATCTGGAGAGAAAAATCCGAGCGGGATATAGGATATGCATCCGTCGGGTATGGTCCTCCTAGTCGCCGATAGGCCAGCGCTCGGGAGGTTTCCATAAGTTTCAGCCCTCGGACGATGCGATCACGCAATTATCCAACACATCACAATATTTATTCTCTAATTAGTCAACATTAATGTTCGGAATCGACCATCGACTTCTCGTTACGAGCAGCAGCTTCCTGCCGATACTGCTTCCTGAGGAAGAGCAGAAGTCCGAGAACGTACAGCACTGGAATGAGCTGTGGTTGAAATCATGAGCGTGAGGATGGGCGAGGTCAGCGAGAAAACATACAGTGGACCACACGATCCACAACTTGTTAACGCCGGAAGCCACGAGCCCGAGACCTGAATAATATGTCCACTGCCTGCTGTACCCGTCGTGAATCTGGTACAGCCCCAGACCGATGATAGTGAGTCCCAGGAGAGCGTGGAAATAGTTCTGGATGGGCCGGCGGGTAGAGTTTTTCGGTTTTACGAAATGTATCACAGCGCCAAGAGCGACCTGAAGGAGGTAGAGCACGAGAAGGACGATGCCGGTTGTCTGTAAATCGCGGATGTTATCGGCAGCAGTGATAATTGGACAACGAGAGAATACCTTGTGCTGATCCAGTATCTTGGACCTGATTGGCCCGGCTGCAGCGAATCCCAGGGAGATGCCGACGATCACCGCAGGTCCAGCTTATCAAGCGTCAGTTCGCACCACTTGCCGTAAACATAATAAATGCTTACCGAGTCCGAGCTGCGCAATCCAGTGCCCAGTGTACCACGTCGGAGTGAACGTGCGCAGATAACGTGCGAGAAGAATACCGGAGGGTAGCAGCAGAGCAAATGCGATCACGCTTACAATGGCGTGCGCAATGATCATCCGTTGGGTCGAGGATAGCATGCTGCTCCCAGAAGTTTGCGTCGACGAGCTCGATGTTGAGGATCCCGAGCTAGAGTTGAGTGCCTTGCTGAGATCGAGGTTCAAATTGCCGTTTTCGATGTGCATCTGGAGAGTCGCCGACGGATCAGCAGTTCCTGGATTTGTATCACAAAAACCGAAGATTAGGTTTTGCGCAGTCGAGCTGTCGGACTGGCACAGCTCAGTACTCCAATCAAGAGGCGGGATGTCCGACATACGGGAATTGTGAAGACGAATTGTGGATTCCCGGAAGTCTGAGACACTTTCAGGAAAAAATTCGGCTGGTCGATTGTAACGGACGCACCGTGCTCAGTGCTGTGTCCAGCGTTGCGACGCGGGCGGGATTAGCAACGAGGGTGGGCATCTGTTCGGTCGGCGCAGACCGCTGGGAGATCGTAACCGAACCGTTCGAGTTCGGCCACATTATGACCATCGGTGATCCAGCCATGACTGTGCCAAAACCGCTGCCAGGGATGAGACTCGTGAAACAGGAGGACAGAGTAACCAACATTGCCATCCATCCTACGCTCTGCTTTCCCGTGCTCGCTAGCGTGTCTGACGACGCGAAGGGTCGGACTCGGAAGAAATATGTTCAAGGACGGGTAAACGCACATTGGGTTGTAGATCCATTGAGTACAGCAGAAATGCACATATTCTGGTAAGTTCGTTCAGGGCATGTTAAACCTTCTAGAAAACTATGAGCTCACAGTTGTGCATGCAGAGTCGCCTGTCAACCCCGCGGTCGTTGTATTGTCCCGCGCGGTCATCCTGTTACTTGGCGACAAGGCCGCGGAGACTCCAGTCGCGACCGTGCATAGAGCAGGGAGTATGGCAAGAAAATGGGAGGAGAGAAACATGGTAAGGAGGTGAGGACGCGCTCTCGGGGTAATCGGCCTTTATATCTCGAGGCGGTGTCTCAGTAACCGGGGTTTGACATCCATATGACGCCAGGAAAGTGAATGGCATGCTAAGCGCGCTACTCCTTTCATCTTGGTCCGTTCTGCTCTTCTTAGATCATTGGTCAGACCCTTAGGGGACGGTGACAGGTAGAATCTCGTGTGAACTGCTGCGCACCTGGTAAGCTGTAGATCAAGCGCCGCACTTGTGGCGAAAACAGCGCCCATCCTCATCGTTGAGGGGGTGCAGAGACATCTCAGCCCAAGTGCTTTGCTCGTGTGTCTGACATGTGCTCTCGTCTGATTCAAGACAAAGTTGTAGGTATGTAGTGATTTCTGGCATGATAAGCCATCGCAAGCCCCACAGAATGTCACTTGGCAGTTCCTTTGAAGACGGCACTGACGTATTTCGGCGATACGAGATTTGGCGGGTGGGTCGATATGCAAGCTCGAATATCGGAAGCAAGTTGAGACAGGACGGCAGTGTTAGTAAGTAGTTGGTAGTTACGGGTGACCCTCCCGAAAAGGCAATTGATCCTATCACTATTTGCTCCCCCAGTGGAGTTACCAAACAACACCGATTCTTCCGCTCTGCGATCGACGTCGTCACGGCGTGTTTCCCACCAATTTGTCCCACTCTCACTTCGTCCACCATCTCGACTGCATATAGCTCCAACACCTCTTCCACAATCCATACATTCCAGATTCGTTTGCCTCCCGTGATTCGCCATGTCTGCCGATACCGCACCTAGTATGTCATGATCCCCAGCGCTCGCGCCCAGTGTGGGTCTCACTGACGCACTTGACTCAGCGCACTCCACCGGACAGTCTCCTGTCGTGCCACCCGCAGACCTCCGCCATGTGACGTCTGCGTCAGCCCTTGCTATCGACGGGGGACGGAGGATCTCCCAGCACCTCCAGCCGACACCGAGGAAAGGCTCTCGCTCGCCCTCATCCATTCCCTCCAGCCCTACATCTGTGTAAGTCCCTCTGTTCTCTCTTCCAGTAGTCTTGTCTTCTTTCCCGGCTTCCTACTCTCCCTTCTGAGTGGCATATACCCCGCGGTCCCTTCGTAGTGTCAGGGCCTCCGGAAGCTCCGGATAAACTGGCACGGGCAGGAGTCTCCGGGCCCTCTGTAGCCTTGCTGCATGGTTGCCATATCTCCAAGGACCGGGACACCCGGATGCCGTTTCGGGTTCTTAAGCACACCTCGCGATGCGCGAGGTCGTGTGGATCACCTTTGACATGCTTCTCGCATCATACGTCTTTCTCACGCGTCCGGCAGGCATTCGTCCTCATCGGCCATATTTGAGCGGGACATCGAGCCCGCCCACCTCTCCCTTTCGCCGTCGCTCTCAGCCAAGAAAGACCCCCATCGGATGCCCCGCTCCAAAAACACGGAAACGATCGAACAATCTGTGCCCTCTGTGCTCGATAGCGCAGCGTCGATCCTCACTTCCATCGTATCGACGGAGGAAGGCGACTCGATCGCCGTCGTCGCTCCAGCCCCCCTTCCTGCCGGCGGTCTTTTCGACCAGAATACTCTGGGCCGTCGGACAAGCGGTTTCATATCTCCGATCGGATCGAGGTCGCGCAGTCCGAGCCCTAGTCTGAACGCGGGCAACGCGACTTCCCTACTACTGAGCATCCCTCCGTCTTCCTCGCCGCCGGCTGCGACCAGTTCTCCGACGTCATCCTCCCCACCGAATTCCGCTCCTCCGACCGCGAGGCAGTTTTCCGATCCGGCGGAGGGTGTGCTGGGAGCGACGAGACAGGCCCAGGCGAGCAAGCGGCTGTCGTTTGTGTCCTACACGGACCTACTCTCGTCCGTGCCGACTTCGACGCAGCCGCTCTCGGCGCTGACCTCGCCCTCCAACTTGCCGCAGCACATCTCCGGCGTGTCCCTCGCGTCTGCGCCGGAGACGCTCGCGGGCTCCGCGCACGGAGGGAGCGGGGCCCCGTCGCTGCGGAATTTCGTGTTCGGTGTGGACGAGGACCGCACGATTGATGATGTCGGTGGGGAGTGGGAGCGGCAGGGGCTCGGCAAGGGTCTGGAGGAGCGGCTGGAGGCGCTGCAGAGTCTGGGAATGGCGTGAAACAGTGAATTTGTATTTTTACCATGCCTCTATGTGGCCTGCTCTCATGATAATGTCTGTCCCATGCGGCTGTCTACTACTATGATCTCTCTACTTGCTATCTTACTTACCCGTAACGAACAATCAAGGCCTTCTCTCCTCGCTACTAAGTACGATGTCATAGAGAAATCGTGCAATCTGCAATCCGGCTGTCAGTGCGTAGACTTGGACCAGTCTCCAGTAACATCAGTGCAATAGCCCCAAAAGGAAACGCAATCATCCTCCCCGTTGCCCTGGACCAGACATGGGTCTAGTCCCACTGGCATCCCCGCTATAGAGGATCTTTCACATATGTACACACACACAGCAAAGATTGATCTCATCCTATGCGCAACAATCTTCGAGTCACTAATCCTCGCGCCTCCGAAAATATGCCTGACTCACCCCATTGCCTTATCGAACGTCGAGCACGATCCATGTAATCTTCAGCTATAAATCTGTCTATGCATCCGAAAGCGGAATCGCACCGCCCGAGCTTCATCTGAACACTGATACATGGCCGCCCCCGCACTGAACATCGCACACTTGCAGACGCTGCTGGATGACTGGGATAAGGAGCAACCGCAGCCGCAGACACACGCCGCGTTCGGTGTACCCCTGGAGCAAGTTCGGTGCGCGCCGCGGGACGCGCTGAAGGACGTCGTGGTCGCGTTCCGCACGCGTCCGCCGCTGCCAAACGAGGCTGCCGAGAAGTTCCGCGCCGAAAGCGAGTTCTGTAGGGGCATCACTGCGGCGGGCGCGCAGCCGGGCGTGTTTGTCGCGCACGTTCCGAGCACGAAGGTGTGTGCTTGGGCGTCTCGGCCCAGCGGTTCTGATCTTTCCCGTGCAGTGGAATGGCGTGACGCTCTCGCATAAGACGTACAACGCTGATCTGGCGTTCGGTTCCGCAGTCGACAACGAGGAGGTGTATCAGCGGGCGGTTGTGGCCAACGACGTGCGTCTTTCTCTCACCCAAGCGTCCGCGTTTCAAGCTCATCTGACGACAGGTCCTGTCCATGGCCCTTTCCGGCGGTGTCGGTTGTGTACTTGCTTATGGGCAGACTGGGAGCGGCAAGACGCATACGATGGAAGGCCTGGAGCACAGGATCGCGAGAGACCTCTTTGAGGAAGCGCGTGTTCTCGGGAAGCGGCTGGCTGAGGCGCATGCTGGAGAGGTCCCGGACGAGATCTTCGAGTTTCGCGTCACCTTCCTGGAGCTTCTGGGCAAGCGAGCGAGTGATTTGCTTGAAGTGACGACCGAGGACGAGAATGCCGTCAGAAGTGAGGTTGCAGTGCGGGAAGATACTGTGAGTTGCTATGTCTCCCCCGGCGATTTAAAAGTCCATGTGCTTCAGGTGGGAAATGTCAGACCAGCGTTGGTTTCGACCGCCGTGGGTTCTTCAGAGGAACTGGAGAATCTCATCAACAAGGCGCTCTCACATCGACGAACCAGTGCGACTCTGCGCAACGCTAAGAGCAGTCGGAGTCACGCCGTCCTGACCATTTCGATCAAGAACGTGTTACTCCCTTTTAGCGCTGAGGGTCAGCTCATCCTGGTCGAGTGCGTATCTTCCGCGGCTGTGGGGCTCTGTAGTGGGTATTGATCGACACGCAGCCTCGCGGGAAGCGAACGTTACGAAGATTCCAAAGAACACGATAAGCAGCGGATGAATGAAGTGCGGGAGAATAACTCCAGTTTGATGAATCTCAAAGAGTGTGTGCGAGCCAAAGCTCGCATGTCAGCCGACGAAGGATTTGTGCATGTTCCCTGGCGCACGAACAAGCTGACCATGTTGCTCAAGGTGGGCTTCTAGTCCGAGCTATTTGCGCGATCTCATTTCCCCAGCCCATTTTCGATATTGAATCGCGACAGCCATCGAGAGCGATTATCATTGCTCATGTCTCGCCTCATATTCAGGACAGCATTCATTCGTACGTCGTCAGTTCGAGCTGATCCAAGGCCATACTGAGGCTTGCCAGCACCAACACACTATCCTACGCTGCACCCTTCATGACAGCCTTACCCAAGGCCAAAGGGCCTGCGCCATACGACGTGTCGGATCCCAGAACATGGGATCACGAACAAACCGTCACGTGGCTGACCAGGCAGTTTGCGAAACCCGCACTTGCCAGTCGTCTTGCCACATGGAAAGTCAAGGAGAAAGCAGCGATACTAGCTGGTAAGAAACTGAAGCCACTCGAGCCACTGGCTTCAGAAGATGTAGACATCGGCGTGGATGTTCTCCAGATCTGTCCAGTGGGATCGACCGCGAACAATGTCGGGGCCTTGTATGCCGCAGAATTTGTTGAACGGTGCCTCCAGGCTCGGACGCGCCCAACCGTGGGTGGGGGTCAGGCTGCCTTTTCCAAGATGGCCATCGAGGTCTCTGGAGAGCTGTCGTACCTTTTCATGAAAGCCAAGACGAGGACTCGTAATGAGCTCATGAAGACCCGAAAGACTTGGAATGCAAAGGAAATTTACAGTATGTCAATCGAAGTTTACTTGGTCATTCTGATTGAATTTGCTCATAGGTTGAACCTGATATGAAACGGGGACGTACTCGCTTAGTTCCATGTAAGTAGTATGAAAATTAGAATCTTTCGGAATAAACCAATGCAGAAATCTCGTTGTGCGGGTACGATGCAGGTCCCTTGTTCATTGTTCATGCTCTGCGATATCACCATGAATTTCATCCAGGTTCTGACGGTCGCATGGACGTCGTTCTTTTCAAAGACACGGAGACTCTCTGCGTATTTGCACATTCAACTCAACGGTGATCATTATCGTTCACCCTTCGGCCTGAAGCAGCAGTTCATGGTTCATGGATATGTGAACACTGTAAAACTACAGTATAAATTAGCTATCTATGCCTTACTTGCGGATGTCACTGCAGTGAAGCTATGGCTCCGCTAATAGTAACAAGACAAGGATGACGCGAAATGTTTTCTTCACACAATAGAAGACATTACAGTCGGCGCCATCAGTCAGCGCAATCTGGTTGATATGAGTCAGGTCACGTGGTCAACGACGGGAAATGACAGTTCAAAGCCTTCGGCAGAGCCGGGTAACATTTCGAGCTCTTCGCTTTGCACCGTGATGACAGCTCAGGATCCAGTGACTGACCAAACATCATTGAGGTTGCAGTAGGAGCCAACTGGGATGTTGGCCATGAATTGTGCAGATTGCGGACACTGTCTGTTCGTTTTCGCATCCTCTGACACTCTTTCTTATACATCTCGGTAAATGAACTCTTTTGACAATTCCTTGGACTAGACGATCAAGAATTCGACCCTTTTGAATGCAACTTCAAAGTGCGTTGGTTTTAGTTGAGGTTTGTGATAACAAGACCTCAGGAGTCCCTTTTCAAAACATCACCCAACTCACGGATATCGGCTGGGCCAGTCCGACAGCATCCCCCCACAACGATTCCGTTGAGCGTATCTCCAAGATCAATTCCCTTGATCATCGCCCCCACCCGCTGAGCCCAAGAAGGCCCTGATGTCACACTCTTGACGATCCAGGACTGCGTGACTGGATCGTAGATGTCCCCGCCGTTCGGGTAGACCACCAGCCACGGCTTCTCATCCCGTTCCCCCCGCCCCATCTCACCGAGCGCCGCCTGCATCTCCTGCAGAATGCGCGGCAGCTCGCCGGCATCGGTGCAATTCACGCCCAGCGCCGACGGGTGCCCGAGATTCCCATCCCCCGCGCCCGATCCAAACGCCGCATCCATGACCGAGCGCACCGTCACACCACCCGTCTCGGGGAACCGCCCGCCAGGAAAGACGAAACTGATCCACCACGGTTTGTGGAGCCCTCTCGCTGCCAGGCGGGCGACCGCGATCCGGATCGCGCGAATCTCGCGCAGCAGGGGCACCGTCTCGAACGCGATCAGGTCGACGGCGGCCCAGGCTCGCGGATCAGCCGCGACGATGGAGAGCCGCTCGAGGTGATACTGGGCGAGCGCTTCGGTCGCGGCGGCTTCGAGCTCCCCTTCCTCCGGCGAGAATGCGTTGACATTGGGGCCAGCAGTGGTGTAGGCTCGGGGGCCGTACGGCGGGGGGTAGAACGCGTCGAATTCCTCGATCGCAGTTTCCAAATGATGAAGCGGGATAAGAGGGACAAAGGACACACCTGAGCCGGAGAAAGTCCCGCACCAAAAGGCCCCAGCGACAGCGCGATCTTGGGGCCGGGCTCCGCGTCACCACCATTCTGGTGGGTCTCGCTTAGGAATCGCACCCTCGCATCCTCCGCCAGCAACACACACTTGCACATCAACTTTTCTCCCTCCTCATCCCCGTATCCGGCGCCTGCAAACGTCGAGGGCGAGCATTGGTATCTGTAGATGGATGGGCGATCATGCGGGGAAAGAGAATGCAGACACGATGCACGCACGTGGAGGTCAAGATGATTTGTGCCCCAGCACGGAGAAACGCGAGATGCGCATCGACAATGACCGTAGGGTGTTCGACGGCGGCTTTTGCGGACCAAAGCGGTGTGTGCGAGATGTCCAATCCGAAAGTCTGCTCGAGTGTGGTCCCCTGTAGATGATGGTGGGTCTAGTCAAGGTTTGTGTAGATGGATTGACGACGCGGTTACGCACCAAACCACCGTCCAAGATCACAACTTTCCTGTCCCCAGTGATCGTGGGGAACATCGGCTTCAAAATATCTAATCATGACAAAAATGTGCCTCACATGGCCAATCAGATCATACTTAGATATGCCACGTGATCCACGAGTGAGCTTAGTTGAAGTTCATTCCCGTAGCGCAGCAGGGGTTTGGAATATTCATATATATGTAAGGCCAGCGCGCATTCATTCTATGAACTTCTCTTTGTCGAATCGAAAGTACTTGTCTCCGTTGGCATCACTTGGCCACAAATGATCCCTTCAGTCGGAAATGTTCTGATTCGGGTTACCTACAGTATGCCACCTTGAGACTTACTTCCGGCAATGATATCATTGCTCAATTGAAAGATTTTTTGCGACTGGACATCAAGGGTTTGCACGACGACTTTCAAGTTCTGTTAGCTGATGCAGCTTGCGCAGGAAACTGCTCACCGCGGCGGAAGCACTGCATCTGCTCTTTCCGATCGAACTTGCAATGATGCTGGCGAAATTGCTGTAGTAAAGGCTGTGGAACTGCAAAGCGAAGCACAGCCTATTGTCATATATATATATGAAAGGTAATTCATCTTCAAAGTGCTTGGCACTCTGCAAGTCCACAGCTCACAGTAAAGACCACAGCGCGAATGTGAACACTTTGTTGCGAAACGGTTGTCGCTCCACACCGACATATGCCCCGCTAGGCTTCACCGCGACAAACACAACAACGCCGGGGCTGTAAAAGGTCACAAGAAGGCTCCCAAGGCTGAACCCAGAAGGAATTGGAAGGCCACAGGCTAACGAGGCCTCCATTCCAGTCAAGTGAAATACCGTGAAAGTCTTAGTCAAGGAGAATTAGCGCCCTGCTGGGAAATGAATGCCGTAGGGGTGTCGAGTGATCAAGTCAATGATTGAATGGCAATTCCTGATTTGAAAGACAAAGATCGAGCGCTTCCAAGTTCCAATGACCGATTATGATGGCAGTTATGTTCTTTCTAAGACATCCATCATCATGGTCATCAAGATCACCCTTCTGGCTGTGTTCTGGCTCTCGTTGACCAGATATCGGTCTCTTCCGCAGCAGCAAACCCCTTCCTGTGAGAGTTTACCGGGTATCATATTACCGATGCTCTGATCAGGTCTCTTTAAAAGGATACTAAGGTTCCGTTATCATTTCGAAGTGATGCAGAACATTGAGCTGCAGGGAACTGTAGTGCTGACAGGCGAGCATCGGCAAATTGATCCCTCGATTTCGTTTGAAAAAGATCTGCATCACAGAGATGCAGCACCCAACGTCGCACGCGACATGCTCTAGAATCAGAACAACATATGTTACACGCTAGCTGAACACAGAGACAGGAAGCACAACCGGACGAATTATCTAAGATCAGTACAATGGGCTAGCCATGGAGGGAGAAAGCAGTCGGGGAAATTAGCATGGATAACTTAATTACTCATAGTATTGATTGGGCCCATCCCGAAGGTCGGCAGTGCTCATGTCGTACGTGTTATGCTTCTGGAGCCTGTTCAGTCGGGATGCAGCCTCCTGACGATACTGTTCGCGAAGGTAAAGCGCCAGCCCGAGGGCATAGAGCAGGGGCAGAGCCTAGATACGCATTCAAAACCACGCTGGGACGACGAGAAATTGAAACTCACAAAGCACCAGATGACCCAAAGAATGTTCAGCCCAGACGGAATGCTCGCGAGTCCGGTGTACGCCGGCCATTCAGTGTGATAGCCGGTCCGGATCTGGTACATGCCCAGGAGAATGACGACTAGGCCGAGGATGGCATGGAGATAGTTTTGAGGTGGCCTGCGCGCCGCATTCTTGGCTTTGACGAAATGGATAAAAGCTCCGAGGAAACACTGGAGCAGGTATAGAGCGAAGATGATGATGCCAGTTTTCTGCAGTGGCTGTGTCAGGAAGGTAGATCGAATGCCGGCATGCGCAGCAGCCCACCTTATGATTATCGAGAACGCTGGATCCAGATGAACCGGCAGCCTTGAATCCCAGAATGACACCAATGAGAATAACGGGTCCCGCTTGCCCTGATAAGTACCAATGGAAACACAAAACAGAGGACCACGTACCGATTCCAAATTGGGCAATCCAGTGGCCGGTGTACCAAGCAGGGGTGGAGGTGCGAAGGTAGCGGGCAACCAGCACACCGCTTGGTAGCAACAGTGCAAATCCAATGACACAGAAGATGGCGTGCGCAACAATCAGGCGCTGGTATGGTGTCAACGGAATGCCATCTGTCGCGCCACCGGTGTCGGCGCTCGAGGTACTCGAGCCGCTCGAGCTGCTCGACTGGGAACTTGCGCTTTTGGACGCGACTGGGGCGGCGGTTACACTCGTTGCGGCGGACGCCGACAAGGATTTGGTCAAATCAAGGGAGAACTGGCCGTAGTCCTTGTGGAAGATTAGAGTAGCATCTTTGGCAGACGAGCCGGGATTGGTGGCTCCGAATGCAAAGATGAGAGGCGGTTTAGTGTTCCCGTCCGACTGTGGCGGATATGAGCACGGCTCGCCGAGGAGAAAACGCGTAACTGTCCCATACCGGAATAGTATAAACGAAAGATTGGTCCCCGGATGCCTAGGCGACGAAGTATTCGGCACGGGCATAGACTTGCAGTATAAAAGGAAACGCACAGTACTGAGCGACTCCGACAGTGTGGCGAGGAATGGGGGACTGGCATCCAGAGTAGGCATCTGCTCTCCGGGTGCTGTTCGCTGAGAAAGCGTCACCGAGCCGTCGGAGTTACTCCACATGATGACCATCTTTGCGTTGGCCATGTACGATCCAAAGCCCCTGCGATCCCGTAAGCCGAAGATGCCCATGCTCGGGTGCCCGCGCCCACGCACATTGCCATCCATCCTGGTGTCATCTTGCCCGTGCCCGAGAGAGTGTCTGTCGTATATCAGCCAGGCAGCAGTCGATATGAATAGAGGCACAGACATTGGACTGTCGAGCCATTGACCACCGCTGCGACACACATGTACTGCAGCCGCCTCTTCAGCTTTCATTCTCATCGCCACCCAAAGAGGCGCTCACAGTAGTGCATTTGGAGTCACCCGTCAACGTCGAGGTATCTCGAGCGTAGAAGTCGTTCTATCGGCATGAAGGTGGGATGAGTCCCAGCCACAAGAGGGTTGCAATAGGACGCACAGATGCGACAGACGCAGCAGCGAGACCAAGCAGAGAGGACACCACGAGGGTGCGGAGGAGACGAGCCATGGCTTACGGGGCGAAGGGTAAGGAATGGATTGGTGGGACGATCGGAAAAGGAGGACGAGAAAAGGGTTATAGTAGATGATAAAGAATGCCTTCACTGTCAGTTGCCTCCATATGGCGTCACAGCCACAATCAAATAAATGCGAACTCCGGTCTTTCAACATCTTCTGAAGCAACCGTCATCTGGCCCTGGCCCAAACCAAAACGCTCCAAGCCGGGAAGTAGAGCGTCCCTAGCAGTCGCTTCTATTCGAAAGGCTGCTAGCTCAGGTACCTACCTACTGCATTGCGGTCTTCAATCACATTGTTCTCTGCAGGCTGCGGAGGCAAATATTGCTTACGTCGTAAGAAGTTGAACCCAGTTGCTAAGCCACCTGCCGTGAACCTGCGGCACTCTGATTCACATGCGAAGATACCGTCTTACCAACGCAGGCTCGGGGCTCGCACGTTCGAACCAACAATAGAACTCGAAGTTCGAACCGGAAGAAGTATCAGGAATGGCTTACAGACCGGATCAGCCCGTCTTGGTAGTTCTCAACAGCTTTCTGAAAGCATCAACACTTGCATGCGCTCCGCTCACGTAGACTGCATTCGTTTGTTTGAATGTTGACATGTCAAAAGGACCCTGGTGGACCTTTCAGCTCGATGCTTCCGATCTATCATCCGTCAAGTCTATCGGCAAAAGGTGCCATTCATGCAAGCGCCTTCTTCTTCTCGTTCATTTCCTCCGCAGCCTCCGCTTGTTCCTTGGCTTGAGCGTTCGCTATACTCAAATAGGTGTCTGTTTCTCCTGGTCAGCCGAGAAGGCGAGACAGAAAGGACCGGACGCACTCCAGAACAAGCTCACTACGCCCACAAACAAGAACCTCAGATGCGCGGGAACGAGCCAGAAGTTGATGATTTGCGTTGGCACGAATACAAGCCTGAACCCGTGCATGAGGTCATCATCGTCGAGCGGGGTAAGGCTAAGCAACGCACCAGTTACGGAACAGTGTCAAGACATATCCCTGTCATCCTGATATCAACCACGGGAAGGAGCGCAAACGATGCACCTGACGCACCGCCTTCAATCGAGGAACAATCTCGCCCGGCTGGCCCTCCAGGATCGCCATGGACGAGAAGAAAGTGACGACCGCGACTACGTCCCGCCTAAGCTCCAGGACCAAGCATCGCGGAAAGGATCGAGTACACACCTGGCGTGAGAATGCATTGATCGAGGTACACCTGCCAACCCCACATCAGCACCACACACCGAAGCATGACGATGAAGGTTGGACTTACACGGTAAACGAGCGACTTGGTCGGCGTCGTGAACCGCAAGCGGTTCAGCAGCTGATACCATTTGGTCATCGCGGGTCCGAACACCACGCCTAGTCCGCTGTAAGTGAAGAGATTCGACCACTTGGCGCCGGTACCCCGCACCGCCGTAAAACGTCAGCCGCGCTGTCCTCATGAGCTAAACGCCTAATTGCTCAGTGACTGCGAAGGATGCTTATGCATCCGACGCACATCATGCTGTTTCCCCTTCTTCTCCACCGCCTGCTGCGCGATAACGTCCCCTGCACCGAAGAGCACAGCTGCCGTCACACACTGTGTGACCAGTGGTCGATGGAGCAGTAGCGAGCTAGTTGTGAGATGTCGGAAAACCGCCGTCGTCGATCGCCTATACAACGCACTTGTACGCCCGGAAAAAGGTCGCCATCGGAGCCAAGAACAAGGAGCGCGCTCCCGAGACGCGTGACCGATGTGTGTGACAACGCGTAGTAGGCGAATGATTGATCGATCCTGGCGGGCAGCAATATTTGCCACCACTCTCCAAACGAGTACAATAGCACTACGAAGCAGTACAGTCGGGTGATACTTACAACATAGGACGTCTTCCAGGCCTCTCACTACGCTTACCATCGGTCCCCATTCGATTGAGCAAGGACCCACCTGGTCCTTGCGGTCGAGTAAACCCCACGGCACGTCCGCTCTGGACCGTTGCCTCTTTCGTGGCTGCACCTTTGATGGAGAAGCCGGTCTCTTCCTGCTGTTTGTCCACCCGTCTCGCCGTCTGCCGGCTCTCGTTCCTTAAACCTGCGTTGGCCATCCGACTCAAGAGGGTTGGTGTCGTTTCATCTGATTCGGGTACTATCTTGGCTCGTTTCGACGGTCGTGGCGAAGTCGATCGTCCAACTATCGCATGCTTGACTGTAGTCGACCCCGGCACCGAGCGGGCAGGGAGAGCAACCGGCGGGACGGGCAAAGCTGGCGGTCGCGCCTGTATCTTCTCGTCGCCAATGAGTGACTGGTCAAACCAAACGAGAGCGAAAAAGGTCATAATATAAACGAAGGAGCGGAAAACAGCCTGTGGCATGGCGAACCCTGGTCAGATTTTCGTATCGGCCTGTCTTGGCCTGCAGAGCTTGCACAGACACTCGCAACGGTGGAGGCACCGACCATCCTTCGGCTTTTCGCTGATCGTCACAATGAGTAAGCGCCGTGCGAAAAAGACACCAAGTGCGCACCTTCACGCAGTTCTCCAAAAGAACTCTGCATGCATTGTCAGACCGTTCGTCGGCCACACCACTTTTGGCCAGTCGCTATTAGAAGAGGGAGCTGAGCATTGGATATTCAATAGGGAACGCATCGAGCTCCGAACCTCGAACAAGAACGTAGACGCGTTCGCGCAATGTGTCTGCAACGGATCGCGATCGCACACCGCCAGAATCTCCGCGGTATTGCAAATGAGGTAGACCTGATCGGCTGGAGTAAAGTTCTGGAGCGACATCTTTGAGATCAGAGACGGCACATAGAACCGAAGAAGATCGCTCGGAGACCCAAGAGAGTGCTTCACTGCGACAAAGGTGAGAAGATCGAGGTAAGCTCGAGTGTTGGGCGTTATTGCCCTCTGCTTCAAGTGCCCACGTGCTTGTTCGATGAGAAGCTGCAGTAAACTGTTGCCCCTGGACCCGGACCGGAAGGTGGGCAAATGTATCAGTAGCTGCTCGACAACATTTCGTGTCTCTTCAGGTCGAAGCTTCGGGATGACCTACGCGAGATCAGGGAAGGCCAGGCAGATATCTTCACGAAGGCACCTGAAACAAACCCTCGGCAAGAACACCCTCCGCCTCGCTGCCCTCAACAGCATCCCGCTCTGCCAAGTTTGTCCGGGCTTCCTTCCCTAGAAAGTCCAAAACCAAAATGCGCAGCCGACCCCTCGTCTCTTTTTCCTCACGGTCCATAGCGTCCTCGTCTTCATAGAGCATCTGATCGCGCATTACTGACAGCGTCACGGATGGATTCAAGTCTAGATGTCCGAGCAAGGCCTCCTTCACTACAGCCGCTTCCGCCGCATCATCTAGCGGTACATTAGGCAGCTAGACCAGAAGAACGCACACCGACGCATACCATTCTGCAACAGCTGCAGCAACACGTCCGTATTCCGCTTGATCCACTTGTCCGCCGCCCGCGAAATCTCCGTGATAGCGCGGTATCCCTCCATGCGCACCTGTATACGCCAACCCGATCAATCATGTTGCACATGGAGAGCAGCGACGACGACGACTTCACGCACATCAGAAGACGCGTCCTCGCACAAATCGTACACGGCATTGATGACCGCCTCCTCCTCGTCATTCGCCAAGTCGCTACTGCTGAAAAGTAGTGGATTCCCCCCGCGGCGAGAATCTGCAGCGTCTCGTGCTCCGAGTGCGTCAGGTCGATTAGTTTGTCCAAGGTCCGCTTGCGCTACATGTAGGGGCGTGATAAAAAGACGGGGTGCACCCAGACCTACGCAAAACGCACCATTAAGACTGAACTGTCCGAGCTTCTTGCTCGACGGAGTAGATCTGCATCCAATGAATCACTGGCATATACAAATCGGCACACCCCTACCTCTCACATCTCGTTCTTGCTCGCTGAGGCTCTTCGCCATAGACCGGCACAAAAGAAGGGTGATGGTTTCGCACAAGATGGGATGATGTCAATACATCTAAACAACAGGAAAGTCTGCTAAACCGAGAAACTATGCGATATGCGTATGTAGGTGTGTATTCAGGTGGCGATTGTGTGGGGGGTATCCAGGGATGCAGAATGCGTACTTTTGAAAACAGTCCAAATGCGAAATCAGACGGAATGAGAAACTCTCTGCTCAACAGCGGGATCAACGAACAAGGCCTCGAACTCCTCCGGCGTCTGTCCAATGACACCGAACGCGTTCTGAAGCGTCCGACCGAGCTTCTCCAGCTCCACAGTAACACCCTGCATGGTCAGCGCATAAGCGAAGAACAGCAGCTGCCGCGATCCTTTCGCATCTCGATTTCGGACGACGTCCAGCTTGCGAATCGCTGCCACCTGCGGATGGTAAGCTCATGCGTTCTTGACGTCGAGGAACACGCACCAGCCGCTGTCTGGCAGCCTCCGCCGGAGGAAGGTATGGAGGGAGAGGCGATTTCAATCGGAAGGCAGAGGAAAGGGTCGAGAAGCCGAGGATGATGTTGCCCACCATTTCTCGCCGCTCTTTGGCAACAGGCACAATGAATTCCTGCCGCACAGACTGCGAAATATCTCAACAGAAGGATCAAGAAATAGTAGAGCCACGCACAGTGTACCATTCCTCGCGTGTGGTCACACATCTCATACTGTGCAGCTTGTCCAGGATGTTTTGCAGGCTGGTAAGGATGCCACGGTAGAGCTGGATAGGGAATGGCCCCTTCAATCGCGGCTCATGCTGTGTCTGAGCAAGCAGCCCTTGTAGTTCGATGAGCTTGATCTGCAGATGAAGTTCCATGGCCATGAACTCCTTGATCGAGTTGCTCAGTCGTGCATGAGCAGGGGAAAGAGCTGAATCCTCGTTGGCATGCTCCTCCGCATCATCACCGGGCAGGGGACTGAAAGAATTGGCCGCGACCAGTCTGGTGTAGAGCCATCAATATTCAAGCAGAATCTGGTCCCATGTGTGAGACAGTGACTGGATTGCCGAGCCCAGCACTTACTCGCTCAACCCTTTCGTCAGTTCTCGTCTCGCTTCGGCAGGCCACCAAAAGCGGGAGACCAGGGCTGCCCAAACGACCCTCCAGTAACAGCAATAGCACGGCGGATCGCAATGTCCGTGGGTGAGAGCTCCTTGTCCCGTAAGTTGTAGCTGGAACTCGAATCAGCTAGAGAACAAGTCACATGAGGACATCGACAAACCAATACAGACACGTCAGATTGTAGGTCAGCAGCACAAAACGGGATGCCGAGACGTATTGAGGCTTGGCTACAATGTAGTAGAAGCAAGGAATCGAGAAGAAGAATCCGAAGGTCGCGAGCACCGCAACATTGTCTGGGAACAAAGTGTACACCAACGCAGCCACTCCAGCACCGAATACAGTGCCTAGGACACGATGCAGACTGAGAAAGTTGGTTGCTCCGATGGTCGGAGAAATGACGATGAAGAACGAGATAAGCGCCCAGTCCCCCACAGAGAAACGAAGATATGGCGGGTCGAATCAAAGAATGCAGGAGCTGACAACAACGCAGTTGCCATCCCAGCCTTCACAGCATACTGGGGTCGCTCTGCGCAAGTCGCGTGCCGACGAGCCACATTCGTTGCTTGATCTTCCCGATCCATGTCAACGATCCCAAGGTGTTTGAATCGTGTTTGTGCATGGGGCCTGACTTGGGGAAGGAAGGATGCGCTTGGCGGAGAGCGGGGACCATATACTGAGCTGGAAAGATCTCGGCAATTGCGTCACGAAAGGAGGCAACATCACTCACAGAATCGTCGTCGTAGCTGTGATTGCCCTTCTTGGGTTTCCGACTGCGCGGGACTGTCTTCTTCTTAGACTCCAGAAATGAAAGAATACGCTCCACCGAGAGGGACGCGTCTCCCGGTCGTAGATCCTCTCCATAGCATCGACCAACGACACCAGCTCCCCGGCGAACTCTTGGAGCGTAAACATGAAGCTGCAGGTCCATTAGCTTTGACATCACGATACGTAGAGAACGACGCACAAATAGACCAGAAACACAGCTCGTTGTCCGAACTGCTCAGTACCTGCTCGCGTGTAGGTGCTATCTCGAATCCACGGGGAGGCTGGCGCTGTGCTCCGTCTATACGCGTAGACTGCATGGTTCGAAGTCGTCTCAAAGTTGACCAGGGCATCTGGATCCCTTCGACAAGCTGATAAAACTCTTCCGACGGAATGCATTTCGCTTGTGTCGTCTGGAAGGAATGCCGGATCCGCAAAAGCGTAGTGGTACATGTTTCTGAAAGTGACAGTGAATACCATGTGCACTTGACATGGCACAGCACGCAGAAGAAAGCGCCCTCAGTGGCGGGCCAACATCTTCGATAGATCTCGAACATATCCGCCGCAGCCTGAAGATAGCAGTTTCTTCGTCACGTTCCAATTCCTTAACAGAGACGTGGTCCATTCTATGTTTCCGTTCGATTTGAATCGGCATTCGTCGCCGCCGTCCTTTGACCATACCGGCCTTGGTAGATCATATTGCAGACGGGTACACCACGTAGACCATTGAGGTGCTGCGCAAGTCGATTCAGGCTACTGACAGCATCTTCGTAGGCACGGCCGCGACCGCCGCCACTTCCTTTCACC